GGCATTTGTTCTCAACCTCCAGACTTTGAACTCGTTGCCTCTCAATTGCCAACTCTTTATCCCATTGCTGTGATATCTTGCTAGACCCATTTTTTTTTCTTTTGTAGATTGCTGTATTCCCTTTTTAAATCAGCCAGCTTGAGATCGACTTTCTCTTTATCTTTCTTTAATAAATCACATTGTTTAACATGGAGACCCTTATCAAGATCTATCATGAACTTTTCTTGTCTTGCTTCTTTCCATTGCTTTGTCCCATTTTTTCCTTTCAGCTTCAAACTCGGCAGTAAGAATCTCAACCTGTGAAGGTACCACCTTGATAAGTTCTTCCCAAGGGATATCTCCTCCTGGATCTGGCAAAGGGACATTTTCATTCGTCCTTGTAAATCTCTTAGCCTCATAGTCAGGTGTATACATAACATCTCCAGACACAACTCTTGTTCTATAGGTTCTTTTCCATGGGAGAGATAGATCCCGTGATTTCTTCTTATAATGGTCTCCACGATAAGTTATTTCATATTCCTTTAAGCCACTTGTTACTGGAACAAATTGCCGAGCTCTATATTGTCTGAGAACTATTAATGGGGCATAGCTGACTCATCCTCATAATCTCAGTAAAGGGATATGGTCAAGATCCCACATCTAAATAAAATATCAGTATATCTAAGCCAGGGAACACACCAAGCAATATCTCGGTCTTGTAAATTACTGAAAGTTGTTATCCATTTATTCCTTGGTAACCCTTCTGGCCACTCTTTGTTTAGAAATTATTTCAAATGAGAGTGCATCATAGAAAAATGATGGTATGATGTCTTGTCTTCTTTCCAGAAGTGACTGCGAATCCATACAGTGAGTAATTGAGCACATCCTACAAATCGACCCCCTTCCAATCTTCGACAATTATTTAGGGATCAAAAAGTTTCTGCCAAAACTGCTGGTGCTGGATTTATACCCTTCTCCAATCTGTCAAAGAAATCTGCAACAACACTATCCACATGGAACAAAGTCTTTGGAAATATTACTAGACCATATATGGCAAGAGCAAATGTGTCCAATCTCTTATCTTTATCTATATGCTCGAGTATCACCTTCTTGAGACAATGCCAAGGAAAACATTCACTTTCTCCTTTTTATTGAATGTGTTGTACTATCCAATTTTCACCTGTACCGGTAATCTTTACTAGTTTATTCTTGAAGGATTGAACTTTCGGAGGTCTGGAATAAACTTTATCCACCTGGATGTTTTCGAAATTAAACAGAGTTGTATACTCCTCGACCGCTGGTGTCAAATCCTGCTTGTTAAAAGTAAAACAGTTGTACGTAGGATTCCAGAATCGGACTAGAGCCTTGAGAAATGATTCATCCATCTTTACATAAAGAAGTTGCGCTACGTCACCATATTTCTTGTAAAACCTCTTTTTGGTGGATGTTCTCCAACTTTCCCAAATCTCTATCAATTCTCGTAAATCGTTCTGCTTGAGATTATCATTGACATCCGTGGATAGCTGCGATGCATAACCTTCAGGCAAACTATCTCCTTTTACTTTTTGCATTTCCTCCGGCCAAGCTCGTACAGCTGGATTGAGTTATTCCTTGTTATGAAAACTTTTTTCCATTGCAATGATCACTCTTCTAATCTGATGATTACTTGGTTAATCAACACCTTTCTTTTATTCATGATGATTATGCAAAAATGCCAATGCAAGCAAACAAAATAAATTAGAATTACAAACAAAAGAGGAAACAATGAATTAGTAATAGCAAGATAATCAATAGAATTAAAATATGCTATCTAAAAATAAATATAAAACCTACCCGAGCATTCGTTAAATAGAAAATAATTATACCCGAACATGTTTTCTTCCCCAAAAATGATTATTTCAAGAAATGATATTAACCGCATGATATCTAGTTCGCATGTTTTTATTAGAAAATAAAATTTAAAGCAAAAAGAAAGATTCTGAAATGCTTCTCCTTTGTGTATACTTAATTTGGGTACATATTGACATACAGAGGTTCAGTATGTCTATACCTAGGGTGATTGTTCTATGGTTCACTATATGCATAATTTCGGCTCTATTAGGAAAAGGTACTCGAATTATCATTGATGTCGGTGTCCCCTTGGGTTACCAAACCCTCAATCCTAGCCCACTACAGGCTCGTATGGATCGAGTTCAATTCGAGAGGATACATTCACTTATGTCCATGCAGAGAAACAATTTATCTCACGTAGACATAAGGTATATGAACCCCAAAGATTACTTGATAAAACCCGTGCGGAGAAACAAATTATCTCACGTAGGTTAAGCTTTCATCTCAACTTAAAAGGGACAAAGCTCGTAAGTGAACTTATGGTATGCAAATGAACATGATGTGTGTGAGGAGGAACATTCAGTCCTTTAACGAAACCACTCGACAAACAAAACTTTGGACAAATCTGAAAACAAAGATAAAAATGTTAATAAGATAATAATAAAATGAAGCAATTAAAAACTTCAATAAAAGGATCATAAGTTAACTAAAGACTCGAACTCATAATTTCCACCAAACGACAATGTGTAAACGACTTACAGCCTGACTTTCTGAAAACAAACGATCCCCAGCAGAGTCGCCAAGCTGTCGTAATTGTTTTTCGGCAGGAATAATAGTTTAATTGTTTAAAAACAATAGTTACGACTTTTAATTTTGGAAAATGAAGTGATTTGAATTGATTTGGAATAATTTAGATAGAGTTGCCATCAACCTTTGGGTTAGGTAGGTTGAATACCTAAAACCGTCTTTTAAAAACAATTTTAAGAAAAATCATTTTTTTAAGAAACAAGTTGGTCTGCGTTTACCAAAGATTTGATTAAAACGGGTTCAGGAGTCGGTTACGCGTGAGGAAGGATTAGCACCCCCACAGCGCCCAAAATTGGTACTGTGTCGTTTACATGTTGTCGTAATAGTGGAAACCCTGAATCGAATATAAAATTAAAATATGATCCTTTTATATAATATTGATTAATTTTCTTCAATAAAATTAATTAATTAGAAAAAAAATTATTTAATTTTGAAAAGAAATCTCGACATTAACAATCCTCCGTCGAGAAAGCTATTTCATCTATTTCTTATTCAAATTCAAAAATTTCATTCTCCTTGATTTTTTTTAAATTCGAATCGAATATAATTTAAATATCAATTTTTGCATGAAATAATATAATAAATTTTTTAAGAAAATATAATAAAATATTTATAATAATAATATTTTAATCCTTAAAGATGAAATAAAATAATAAGTAAGAAAAAAATATTTGAAAATAATTAATATAATTTGTAATGTGAGAACAACATAATTTTAAGCAATATATAATAGGAGCTCCACTTGCAAAAGTTTTCTTTTTATATATAAAAATAGGATAAGAATCTTACGACATTTTCAATCACGTGATATTCAAAAGTTTTTGAAAATAAGAATATAATTTTAAACACTATATAATGTGAGAACAACACAATTAATAAAATAATACAATATATTTTATAAAACACACACCTGCCGTAAAGTAATTTTCCATCACCTTGACCCATAAAATTAAATTGTTTAAAGAAGAATTTTATATGATAAGGGGAGCTCCACTTGCAAAATCTTTTGAAAATAAGGACAATGAAATCTCACGTCATTTTGAATTTCATTATTGTATTCCATTATATATTTAATATTTAATGTTAACAAAGATTTCAAAACCAATTAAAATGGCGTTTGCTAAAAGTTAATAAAATATATATTATGAATACACAAGATTTTGAAAATATAATAAATAACAAAGAAATTGATTTACATAATAAATTAAATAACATTAAAGCTTTAATGACAAATAAATTTACTAAGTAAATATAATTGAAACTACTTTATAGGTTTAGAACGAAATCAAATAAGTTTAAATTAATGTTATATATATATTCAAATTAATATAAATATTAACATGACTTAAATGCTACTTTACAACATGAAATAACAAAGACTAACAAATTAAATAATTAGGTGACTAAAAACAAAAGAATAATAAATTTTAAGATCAAATTTAAATATAAAATATAATATACGATCAGTGACTATAATATAATAATTAAACATATAGTGACCAATGTCAAATATTTACAATAATACGTAACATATAAAAATAGGATTAAAATGTAAAATAAATTAAAATAGTAGCTCAAGTTAAAAAGTTATACTAATGACCATAATAGAAAATTACAAACTAAGAATGATCTTATTGGCGCATATCCCATGCGAAATTACAGATTGCCCCTTCGTTAAAACTACGTCATTTTGTACAATATATTTAAAACCCAAAGCGGGCTATTATTCTCATTCTTCCCTCATTTTCTCATCACACAAATAAAAGAGAGAGAGTTCCAGAGAATTCTCTCAAGCACAGAAAGGTTCCACGGTGACTGGAGGCTCCAACGGTGGAGTTAACGGCAGAGCACGGTTGCCGGAAAAATAAAACCGACCTCAAATCGTTCTATTTCTTCCCCACAACTCGAATATCTACTTAGTTTCACCTAAAATCAACCATAGGAAAGTAGATCTAGAGATTACCTTCAAAAGAAATGAAGAACACGACAACTTTCGAGGTTCCACGGCCGCCTTTATAGCTTCCGATGTCTTTGAACCTCCACTGTAAGTCCTCTCCCCTTGCTTCTTGTTTTTGTTTTTTTTTTCCTTGATGAGTGTTTTTTTTTATGTTCTCCCCCTGTTCGTGAATGCCTCCCCTCTTCATGGATCCCCCTCCTCCTTTATGGTTGCCATCCTTACCGAATCCCCTTGTCCCTTTCTTTTTTTTTCTTATGTTTTGGTCAGATGTTGATGGGTTAGGTCAGATTTGTTAGATTTATTGACTTTGGTGATGGTTTAGGTAAAGTTTGAGTGGAGTTTGTTTGTAAGTGGGTGAGTGGAATGGTGTTATTCACGTGGGGGCATCGATTTTAATTAAAATAAGAAAATGGTGCTCACAAACAGCAATGTCATTATCAAGAACTAGCCACAACTCCAGAATTTTTCCATAAAAGGTGCCAGTATTAGATGGTAAACTAATTTTCCCGTAATTATGAACCTTAAAAGTATTCCGAATTCATGAAGAGATGTGATGGTGTACAATATTCACAAATATCACCTGTTAATGCATTTTATGATTTAACATCTTGGACCAAGTGATTTGTGTCAAATATACTATCATGCAGTTTAATTTATCCCACGATAAATAACTCCAGTGACAAATTTACACAGGATCATCAACTGGTTTGGACTTCTCTGGCATTTACAGAAAACATAATAATTTTTCTGAGGTGATAAACCTTAACGAGTCTGGATTTTGGGATAGCAAAGTGGTACGTAAAAAACAAGTTTACCGTAGTAGCGAACAGGTAGGAAACATTCACGGATTTGTTTGGCAACTGAAACATTGGCAGCCAGCATAAATTCTTCAACCATTTGGGTCGCTTCTCGAATCTGATACATGCCTGAATAAATAACTCAGATATCAGACATAAATGAAAGCATGAGCAAATATGAACATATTCTTTCTGGAATCTCAAGACCATTTAATTTAATCGGCATTGACTTAATCATAAATCATAATTATTAATTACTACCATCCAGACGTCCACCATTGGACAAATGATGAAAATGTCCAATGCATAGGACAAAACCGAATGGGCAAAAACACTGAACTAATAGAAAAAGACCAGTGTGTGTAAATCTTTTAATTCAACAAAATGATTCTTGCAGATAAAGTTTTAAAAGGTTCTATTATCAAATGGTTCCCACTTCCCATAACATAACATATAATATGCTGAACATATTCAGCTTGCAGCAATTTTTGAGATTACCTTTTTGTTTGTTTTTATAAGAAACTGTGAAATCTTAATGAACCGCAAATGAAACATACTGGCTTTATGTTCATGTCTAATTACTAAAAAATTTGTAGATGCACTGAGTTTTTTTTTTTTTTTTGAATTGCTGCTAAAATATCTTTGATTCATTTTCCAGATTAAGAGTTTAAAAAAAGAATTAGGCAACAGACCAATATCAAGAGGATCATGAGTCTCAGTATCAATTTGAAATTTGACTTCAGCAGAAGCAAGAGTCAAGGCTCCTTTGACGATCCGTCTTTGCCTCATTATCTGCAGTTTCACATGTGACAATAGACATGGAGTAAACAAAATTGAAGGCAAATTAAACCCAATGTAATGCGATTATGAGTAGAAACAGACTCTTTAATAACAGACCTTAGCCAAAGTATTCATATTTCTCAAATCTGTAGTTAACGGGTCCATCAATCGACTGCAAAAGAACAAAATCAATCAGAATGCTCATGCGCCAGATAAACCACAAGATTTTATTCTACTGGAATATAAGAAACCAGATATCCCCAGCAGAATATAAATGAAAAGTATATAGTAGTAAGAAATAGAAAGAAGTGTGTGAATATGCTAAAATTGCGTTCTACTGCTCTCTCCATCTTCTCTACTTCTGGTTCTATTAATCTTAGAGGCATTTGGGATTCAATTCGAAGCCAAAGGGAGAAAGTACTCTGGCACAATCTTATCTGGTTTCCATTGCACATTCCTAAATTTAGTTTGATTGCTTGGATGACTTTGTTGAACAGATTACCAACAAGAAATCGTCTACTCAAAATGGGAATTACCACGGAAGGGACCTGTGTAAACTGCAACAATGATATGGAGACAAGAAACCACCTCTTCTGCCATTGTCCCCTTGCTGTCCGACTGTGGAATTCCATACTGTCGCTGAATGGCTTGAAGAATGCAACCTCAACATGGGATGAAATGGTTACTCGGGCATCATCAACATGGAAAGGGAAATCCTTGCTCACTACAATCTTAAAGATCGCATGGACTGCCTATGTCTACATATTATGGGAGGAAAGGAATTGCAGAATTTTCAAAGGTCGACACAGATCAACCGAGAACTTACTTAAGGTCATTATTGAAGCTGTGCGAATTCAACTAAAGGGTAGAAATATAAATAGAACTGATAGAACTAACTATAACCTTTGTATTGCTTGGGATTTAGATTAACCAATCTTTGTCTTTTGTAAGTAGGCTGTTTTTAATTCTTTTGTTATGATTGGTTGATTGTTTTTGTAGCAGAACTCTGCTCTTTTGGGTAATAAAATTCGATTTATTCAAAAAAAAAACTTTCACAGATTGTATTAACATTTTTTTAACCGATGAGCAAGAAAGGAAATGGCAAAAGTTCTTTTGCCTGGAGTAGCTGACAGTGCAAGGGAATAAGTAACCAAGTGTGTAATAGATCATACTTTCACCAAAATAACCACAGAAGAATAATAGCAAATAACAGTTGATAAACTTAGACAGCTATCAACTTTTTTTTTTTTTGAAAGATAAAAGTTTTGTCGATACCGAAGAAAGCACGCAGGTCTTGTTATAAAACCTCTTAATGACAAAATAACGACACAAAACATCCTCTTAAGGATCATCCTCGGAACTATTTCAAGCATCCTCTTAATGACAGTTATCAACCTTACATAGCCAAAACCATAGAAACCAGCATGCTCACTATTTCAAGCAAAACAATAGGATCTCAATCGCAAATAAGTAAACTAACAGCTTGTAAGATCCAAACTTAACATCCTAAAGAGAATAGTCCTTTTTCACTCCATTGGCTAGGTTTCCTGCTTCAGACTGTTACACTCAAAACAATAGTTTAATCAGTGAAGAAATTTGAGTTATATGGCATGGTAAGTTTTTCCTATGGAATAATATCAGATGATGATCTTTCAATGTTCAGAAAAAAAAAAAGGAAAAAAAAAGAGAGAACAAATCGAGAAACTTTTGAAAATTTACATTTTTAATCTCTAAACTTTTACAGCTTTACATTTTGGTCTCTAATTTTTTTAATTTTATATTTTAGTCACTAGTCCAAAATTTGAGATATTACAAAGGTAAAAGGGTAACTTTTTCCCCTGTAGTGGACCCAATTCATCACTTTCGTCCCTATCGTATGTTCATATCAATTTTGCCCTCGAAGTTGCTCAATTGCATCATTTTATACCCTATCCCTAACTTAAAACCTTAAATTATAAACTCAAACCCTAAATGCATAACCACATAACCTCTAAACTCTAATATCTAAATCCTAACTCAAGTTTATAATTTTGGGTTTTAATTTAGGGGTAGGGTATATAATGATGCAATTGAGCAACTTTAAGGGCTAAATTGATGCGAAAATAATAAGGACGAAAATGATAAATTAGGCCTATCACAGGACAAATGTGACCCTTAACCCTTAATTTAATTTTAAAAATATAGAAAAATAAAAAATTATTAAATAATATTTAATGGTGATTTAATCATTTAAATTTACTGCATAAAAACTCTTTTAAAAACCTTTGAAGGCATGTGAGATACTTAACCAACAAAACAAACTAATTACCACTTTCCTTTTAAAAATGTAATAAACATTTATATTAGTTCGCTGCCCGAGTAATTTGCGTTGGATTAAGCTGTAAGAACATCTCCAGCGCGTCGCTAGGGTAGAGAAAATCTCCATTTTGGAGATGAATTTCAACTTCAGCCCATCTCCACTTTCAACGCTAGAGTAGAGAAAAGCTACAGTGACACTCTACATATAGAGTTGCACTGTAGCTACACTACATATTATTATTTTGTTATTTTTATAATTTTTAGTTTTTTTTACTTTCTTTTGTTATTTTCTTTTTCTTTTCCTTTTCTTTGTTACATTATTTTCTCTTATTATATCTTTTTATGTTTTTTTATTGTAATTTCTACACAATAAAATAAAAATTAAACATAATATAATAAATTCAAGTAGATTAAATTACAAGATAGATAAAAATACATTGAAATTAGATAAATAAACATACTAATAGTTAAATATTGTGAATAAAGTAGAGTTGGTAGTAATGTAGAGATAGTGCTGGAGATGAATTACTGTTTCATCTTTATAGTAGAGATAAAAATGATGTAGAGTAGAGATGCTATCGACTGCCGGATTAATTTTGGTTTTGAATAGTCATTTCTTATGTTGTTAGAAAAAAGCAAAACAAAACTCATATATATAGAAAAACAGAATTCAGTATAAATTGAATTAACTAAATATTATTATTTTTTTAATTTTTGATTTTTGATTGTTAATTGATCATATTCATTCAATATCTAACCCAAAAAATCAGATACCGATTATAACTTTTCGGACAAAAGTGATGTGAATCATTTAAAATTTGAAGACTAATTGATATTTGGAGTGGATGAAGAAACCTTTGAATACTATCACAGACACTCGATTAGATTATGAATTGTTTGTGCATCCATCCAATAAACATCAATATGGAATCTCATACCTCAAATCAGACGAGAACCGTTCAAGAAGATAATATAATTCAATTGCTGAAAAAGCATTACCAAAGGCATTGATGTTTTAGTACATCTATGGATCAGATGAGTATGAACAAGTTAAACAAGGAAAGAACTCCCTAATATTTATTGCATTGCATTCAATTATTGGTGTTATTCTAGTTTAGAGGCAAGCAATTGAAACATTCAAATGTACACCGTCAAATCCATCTTCCTTACAAAACCAGAGATGAGCAAATAAAGATGAAGTGGAGTAAAACTCGTCTCTATCAAAAGAGATTTGTGAATCCTACCTCAACTATTGTCTCTCCAACATTGAAGTCGCCTGCAACGAGAACAGAACCGAACATTACATTTGCGTGACTTTGTTTTGTTCTATACATGAAGGGGTCTTGAAATCCTGACATTTCCACACAGGTGTACCTTCAATAGAAATAAAACATCAGCAGATGGTTCCAGAGAAAAACACAGGCTTAACAACAGTAGTCGGATTACCCATGTTCTTCTTGTCCATCAATGGAGAGTTCTTATTAATCATATCTTCCTTGGCATTCACTCGATCCCTATAGGAACAAACGCTCAAGGGCAACTTCTTTAGCTTTATTCTTCCCCTCCTTTTTCCAGTAGGATATGTATCTTCGCAAGCTTTTTCCTTTGATTCTGCTTCACCATTATCCAACACCGACTCCCCTGATTCTGCCATCATACCTCCATTGCGGGTAGAAGACGGGCTTCCTCTCAACACAATACCCCCATTGAGAACCTTTGTGTTCTCCAGAGTTGGCAAGTTCTTGGACCTTTTCTGTTGATGCCCTTTACATTCATATATTGGTGAATCTTTTGAGATTCTTGGAGAACTATTGATTGCTCGGTGCAACCTTTGGGCTAAATCTTCATCTACCCTAGAACTCTCAATTGGTTGGTGTTTTTTGTATAAAACTTGAACCGGGACATGCTTCTTGGGCTTATTCTTTTTGAGGTATCTATCCTTACCCCCAACATCTTCAGAAAATGTTGCTACCATCTCCAATGCACTCTTAGCTGCGGCGATAGATTTAGCTGCAATTGCAGCCTTCTCCTCTGCTGCAGCTCTGGCAGCTTTAGCAGCCTTAGCAGCGGCAATAGCGGCTGCTCTTGAGGCCTCATAAACCTCCTCTGGAGAAAGGTTAGGGTTATTGAAACGTGAACTCAATAAGTTATTAAGATGAGCATCAACATCACTTGATGAAGTAGCAGGTGATGGTGAAGGAGAGGAAGTTGAAGCAGCAGCTATTCGCTGATCTGAAGCACCATTTGCATCCGAAGCTCGTTTCTTAAAACCAGCTAACAGGCGCTTCCGAGGAGGCAAAAGGACATCGGCATCCAAGTGATTGATGTCACAAACGTTAGCATCCATTAAATCCAGCTTATTATAATCCAAAGCACCAGAGAATGAGTAAATTCTTTACAAGGAGAACCCAACCGCTCCAATTCACATCGATTCCATATCATCAACAATCATAGATTCAGTGTTAAATGGTAAACAAAACCCAAAGGGAAAATCTGAATCATAAGGCAAAATAACAAACAAAGGGAATCTCAGATACAAAAAACCCCACTTTGGAAATAGCATAAATGCATACAGGTGATCATTGAAAGATGATTCATTCGTCGTCAATGACATAAAGAATGAAAGCCTGAAAACCCTATAGGCTATATGCAGTTTCTGTTGTAGAACTACTAGTAAAACCAATGGAAAATTAGATGATCTTGCAAGTAAAATGAATAGCCAAATTGAAAGAGGAGGGCTGATCGATTAAAACAAAGGCAAACAACGTAAATTCAGAGATTGTAAAGGGATGGTTAGGATGTAACAATAATGAAAAAGATGACAATTAGGAATGAAAAATGATTGAATTTTGATCGAACACCTGATTACATGTGTATAACCGGAAAAGAAAGCAAGTGTTTTGTCTTAGGATTGTAGAGAAAGATAGAGTTGAGAAGATTACAATTAGGGTTTGCTTTTGTGTGGGGGAATTTGAAATACCCCAAAGAGGATTAATGGTATTTCAAGGTTCTGGATAAAAATGGTTCCCGACCCAATGGAGGGAGAGGGATGAGAATGAGAAAGGAATCGGAGATACATAGGCTTGATGTAATTTGAGCATAAGATTGTTGGGTTTACATCTCTATTTTTCAATTAAAATTTTCAGAAATTTTACAAGTTAAACATTAATTTATATAATCAAATAAATCTTAGTTCAGTTAATAATATTAATATTGTAATACTTTAGAAATTATCAATTAATTTAGAGAATTTCAAATAAATAATACCTTCTAATCACTTAAGACTAATAAGAAAAGGTGCATATTAATTTCAGATTAAGATCCATGTTGTTACATATGTTAAAATGTCCATAGTTTAACTGCCAAACTCAGACCATAGATCACCAACAACAACAAAATCAAGCACCGTCATAATTTCAACGAAGAACTCGCCAAAACATTCATGGGGTTCCTTCTATTAACGAAACAACCAAGAAAACAAAGCCAAATCACAGTGGCACAATCATACTAGGAAATCTATTTCCAACTCAACTTGCCTCGTTTCATGTTCAAACTATAAGTAATTAGCTTCACTACTATGTTAATCATGCTATTGTTCCATGATTAAACCAAATTCTTTCGTCTCCATAGGTCCAAAAACCAGAGTCTTGGATGGCATGTTTGCACAACCAACTCTAATGTCTCAACCCGCCATGCCGTAATCTTCAGCCTGGTCGTAAATGTTGTAAGTCCCCGGAATTCCCATTTTTCCAGACATATGTTCATCTCCTGCATCGATTAAATAGGCATTTGATCGTTCAGATTTTCCGAATATCGATTCTAACACACCTTCCTGAAAAGAAAATGCTTACCATTGTATGCATTTGGATTGGACATTACACTCAAGAAATGCAATTCAGAGGATATCTCAGGGTTTTGGAAGCAGAGATCTTGAGCTCTAAGTGCAGGATTCTGCTGAGAGAGAAGATTCTCAGGTTTAGTCGTCTTCGTTTCATTCGGCGACTCGACTTCCGTCTCCTGTTCTGATTCAGCATTGTTGGATGATGACCCCAGTTGCTTCCTCTTAGACCGAGCCCGTCTGTTTTGGAACCAGTTATAGACATTATTTTCAGAAATTTGGCCATGCTGGCTCAGTTCCGAGGCTATCTCTTTGATCTTTTGCTTGCTCGGAGTTCCAGTCCCCTGATCAAAGATACGTTCCAGAATCTGAAGCTGCACAGCGGACGGCGTCCACCGCTGCCTGGCAGTAATTTTGTGCCCAGCAGATGCCATCAAAGGGTCACAATAGAGGTTCCCCAGCCTACCACCTGTAAACAATTTCAAGTATCTGGTTTTAACAGCATCAAGTATCTTGTTTCAGTCACATACAACACAAACAAAGAATCCAGCTAAAATATAATACCCAAAGTACCCAAAAAAAGTTTGGGTTTGGCCTATAATATCTTAAGAATCATATTTCTTCACAAACAAAGCATTAAATGGGTATTTGTAACTTATTCAAATCAGTAACAAGACCTATGTTGGTAAAAAAAGAAGACCCTTTTAAATAATGACAAAAAGGAAGAGAAAAAGAGCATGATAAGAAATGAGAGAAGCCATAAATGAAAGACAATATGAAAGCATATATAAGGAGAGAAATAGAGAGAGAGAGAGAGAGAGATGCCTGCAAGATCTTGCTGGGCGGTGAGGTTCTTATGCATCTCAACGAGCTGCTCACAAATGGAGGCATAAACAGCAATTTGGCTCCTCAGAGTCTCCAACTGCTCATCGGTCATCACTTTGACATACATCACTCCACCATTGTTCACATTTACATTCACCATATCTCTCTGGGTTTGATTCTCTTGATGGCCTTCCAATTCCGTTATCATGATTTTGGTCTTCTTTTAATTTTCGCTCGTTTCATAACAAGTCAATCTTGATTTCTCTGTCATGTCTTTGTTTGGAGGAAAGGAAAGTCAAGTGGTTGCTCGGTGCTCACCAAAGCAAAAGAACAAGAAAAAAAATAAAAGGAAAAAGAAAAGGTGAAAGGAGAAAGGAGAAAACTTTGAAAAGTAGCGTAGAAATGGACAAACAGAGACAAAAAACTGTAGGATGTTGGCGATTGACGGTGCTTAATGCGCAACCTGGAGTATGTTAGCAAAAAGGCAGTTTTTTTCTTTTACTTTGACTAGGACATTTTTTTTATCTTATATCGTTAAATTCTTACATTAGTTCCTATACTATATGCAAATTTAATATAGGCACTCTAAATTGATTAAATTAAATTATACTATCAGTCATTATATTATGTATAAATTATAAATTTAATTCATGTTTTTAATTTTTGATCATTTAGATTTTTTAATTCAGTCATATTATTTTTGAATAGTTGAATCATAAGAACAAGAATAGCAATAGATCAAATATCTATATATTTTTTAAAATCGTCTTAATCAAAATACTTAATAGTTATAAATCATATGAGTTTTATTTTTAAATATACATTTAAATTCAATATTATTATTTATCAAGTATTTAAATTTTAAATTATACATTGAATATTTGAATCTATAATACTTTATATATCTACCAACATTTTAGATGATCAAACTTGAATTTCTAAACATATTTTTCATTTAGTAATATAAATTTAGATTCAAATATTTGAATATACATCAACATAAATAACACATATTTGGATAATGGATATCCAAAAGTATATCCGTCAGGGATGTGAATTTTCAAATATCATATATTATTCAATTTAAAGTTTCATATCGAAAAATTCGAATACTAAACTTGTTATTCGTGTTCAATTTAAAAAAAATAGATATTCAACTTTTTTGGATATTCAAAATTTTGAATAGTATATTCAAATATCTGAATATAAACATAAAACTTATTTTGATAGAAAAATTATATTTAAATTTTATATTTTGCAATTTTATGCAACAAATTTTATACTTTTACTATATTTTATATATATTTAACTATTTACACACAATAAATAATTAAAAATTATATATTTTTTAAGTTAGAGGCTTAGTAGTTTAGCGAGTTACTTACTTAGTGAGTTAAGGTTTTATATTTGATGTAGGTTTAAAATTGAATTAAGATTTGAAAAGTTAATTGGTTTTTTTCCTTAAACAACTTTACAAGGAACTAATATTCCATTTACTTCCTAAAATATAATATTCCATTCACTTCTAAATATGGGCAAAGTACGTAAATGATCCCCTGACTATAAAGTGTTATTTTATTGAGTCATCTGATTATTAAAAGTTACAAAATAGTTTCCTAACTATAACTCATTGCTTTTTAAGTCCCTTAACTATTAAAAGTTACAAAATGATCAATCGGCAAGTTAAAGTTATGCTCAAACCGCTATCGATTTTTAATAAAAAAACTACGAGTTTGGAATATAATAAATAATCGAATGACCATTTTATAACTTCTGATAGTTGGTGGACTAAAAAAAAGTAATGTCCTATAATTAAGATATTATTTTATAACTTTTAATAGTCGAGTGACTTAATAAAATAATTTTCTATAATCAGGGACATACTTTACCCTATTAATACATAGATTTATACAAGTAATATTGTATTAAATAGACATTTATAATGTGATTCCTTTACTTAAATAAGACATTATATATTATTCCTTCTTACTCTCCTCAGAGGTCTTCACTATTTCTGCGAGCACTTCATGACGAATCCCATGAGATTAGTCGTAGACGACCAGTTCTCTTGTAACTGGAGCTAAGCTCTTTCCTTTATTAAAAAAAAAGTGGGACAATTAAAAGACAGATTTGATTGGAGGTGTAGCCCACCGGTCCCACCCTCAAATGAAATGATGCTACAACTAATAGTAATGTAATACAAACATATAATATTATATATATTGTGCAAGGCCTAAGCAAAGCCCTAGATTAATAATGGTGTGTTAGGATTGTGAATAAATCAGCTGTAAATGGTTTCTTTGACACCACTAAGTATTAATTAAACCAATTTGCAACCACTAATTATGCACTATCACTTATTATTTAAAGTTTGGGTAAACTATCTATTTGATCACCTACCTATTACTTAATTTTTATTTTAGTCATTCAACTATTATAATTTTTCTTTCTTTCTAAATTATGCGTGACTTTGTATTTTGATTTTATTTTTATCATCCGCCGTTAATTTATTAACGATGATGACAACGTGATATTTTTATGTTTTAATGATGACACGACATTATTTTATAATGATACATCAATATCACCGTTAATCTTTTTTAACTTTAATGAGCATTTTATATCTTCCAAAACTTCAATGGCTAAAAGGATCATTTTAATAGAGTTTGATGATCATTTACATACTTAACCCTATAATTTGAAATTATGACTTGTGAAACCAATTACATGGGCGGACCAACAGTTCAACACACCCTGTGTGTTTGAACCCGGGCTTGCACGTTTCTTATTAACACCCAACATCAATAAGAATCCATAGTCATTAGGCCACAATGAGTACGGCCATGGCTGAGGTACATAGGCTTCAAATACTCTTTTTTAACTTTAATGAGCATTTTATATCTTCCAAAACTTCAATGGCTAAAAGGATCATTTTAATAGAGTTTGATGTTCATTTACATACTTAACCCTATAATTTGAAATTATGACTTGTGAAACCAATTACATGGGCGGACCAACAGTTCAACACACCCTATGTGTTTGAACCTGGGCTTGCACGTTTCTTATTAACACCCAACATCAATAAGAATCCATAGTCATTAGGCCACAATGAGTACGGCCATGGCTGAGGTACATAGGCTTCAAATACTCTTTTAATAGTAGTAGAGCTACAACTCTTTATTAGTTGTGTTCGTGAGGTGGCGTTTACTTTCTTCTAAAACAGCACTAACGAGTAAAGATTGACAAATAAACAAAATGGAAAATCAAATCTAAACCAAAAAAATGAAAACGTAGTCATATGTGATGCCATGGATCACCACAAAATATGCTTTGTAGTTCATCTTCCGAGCACCAGGAATGAATTGGTCAGGAAATTTGGATGGATGATTTGTGATCATACTGGTTTAGAAAATACCCCAATTTTTTAAACCAAGACAGAATAAATACCAGTTTAGGCTAAAATGGAAGAAAGCAAGCTTCACGCTTATGCAATGATAACTAGCCTGCATGAATGCATATTCACTTTGTTTCCTTTCATCTTCCCAAAGCCAAGACAACAACTAAAAATGTGTTGAAAAGCATTATATATCTTAAGCATAATATATTAATATACATGTATATTCTATGGTAGAGCTAGGTGCCCATAGGAAAACACAGAATATACAGCTGAAGAAACCAATTGGAGAGGAAAAAGAATTATATATTGTAAGCCAAAGCCAGCATATACGAAATGTACAGAAAAGATTAAAAAAAAAGGTTCAATACATGGCATACTATCCATTACTCATAGGGTGCACCAGATACATCATCAGAGACAAGTTTTAATCTGTAACCTAGTTCTTTATCTAGGTTTATGAAGCATACCGACCAACTGAGAGTAGATTTGTTCTTTCGTCACATCCCTGTTGCTTTTATCCAACGTGAAAATGGTTGCACCTAGATGATTCTTCAACCTTACAACTGCACAAATTTACACAGAGCTATACAAATTTAGCAATGAAAAACAAAAGGGATGCAGATTCACCTTAAGCAATAATAAAAGTCTCAGTCTTTCATGGTTTTATATCAAATTAAGTGGGAACAGGATTAAAAAAAGAAAAGGTACACAATCACTACAGAAATATTTACCCGCAGGCAAATCCTTGCCAAAATTTGGTATTGGGACAGTGGCGAGAAGAGGAATATTGGATTGAAGAATGTTTAGAATGGCTGGAAAGAAGTATGAACTGAACAACTCCATTTTACCAACTTCATCAATAATGAAGAGATCGGTATCTTCTCTGATCTAACAACAGACAGTATAGTTTAGCCTTCAAACAATTTTTATACACACAAATGAAATGAGCATGCACATGCATAACTTAAAACAGTCAACGCCAAATTCCTAACCCAGAAGATTAGACCATAAAACTAGTACATTACAATATTAGTTTGACGTATAAAAAGATGATAAAATTTATTGGGAAAGATGATTTTATGGATAAGGGGGGAGGGGAATAAGGGTCAAGGGAGCATAACCATAAAACCCACAAAGCATCAAGCAAACAGCCACCTTCAATTCAGGCAATACCAATGATTCAAACGATGCTATATCCACTTTGTATTTCCCAACAGCCGGCCACCGGTGAGCTTCTGGACTGTCAAATAGCAAAGAGAGACTTAGCCGGACTCTTTTTTCCCGATAATAAAAGAAACTTTATTATTAATTTATAGTCAGAATCATTACAATCAATTCAAAAAGACAGCTAAGCTATGAGAAACAGATTGCCAAACACATTCACAGGAAAACTAGAACATGGACAAATTGGTTATTTTAGGCATGAGCTTCCCTAGGATCAATCACAAAACCTAAAAAATTCTCCCTTATTCATTTTCGTCACCACAAGTAAGAATCAGTCTCAATTATAACATTTGTCAATCTGCATTCCAGTTAGAATTTGATTGCGGCAAGCACCGCGTTTGCTTACACTAATCCCAAATTACTAAAGTAAGGAAAAAATAATCAAAAGATTGAGGGGGGAACCTCGAAATGGTGGAGCTGGCGAGTCGACCTCTGCGACCATCCAAGGTGACGACTTCAAACCCAACCCTTTCACCTCCCTGCCGAATCTCTTGAGAGTAGAAACCCTGAAGCTTGATGTTGGGATTGGAGAGCTTCAGGGTTTCGCAAATTCTCATAATCAGAGTGGTTTTACCAACACCCTGCACGTTTAATAATCTCAATCCCGAATTTCTGAATATTGCGAAAACGGGAAATTCGTTCTTAATATTTACAGTAAAAAGTGAAAGCAATAGCATTACTTACCGGAGGGCCAGTAACGAGGAAGCATTTCCCAACACCTGACATCGTTCCACTCTCTACGGGACTACGCGGTAGATACAGAACCCACTTCCATTGCTATTAGTATTTAGCATATACAAATGGACGGATACACAGTTTTCTGGCAAGTCATGGATTCACTCAATTTCTAGAGTTTTTGGGCCTCAGACCATTGGTCAAGTGCCCAGGTACGATCCGCAAGTCGGTATTTTAACAGTGCTCATCCTTTTGAAAAACTATGGCCAAATCACAGAAGTAGTCACTAAACGTTTAGAGGAATTACACTATTGTCGTCAAAATAAAAACATTCATTAGAGACTTAGAGTCACTATCATTAACAGAGTTTATGAGACATACCCATGTCAGTTTCTTTGATAGACTAATATTTTATAATAAATATTACAACACATGTCATTACCTTGTTGATCAGTAAGAAATAAGTTAGATACTTTTTCAAGAAAGGATTCAAATTTGGGATCATTATAGTACTATTTGATACAACGAAATTCATTTGTTATTACACCAATGGTTTGTTTAATTAATTGAATAATTTTAAAATAAATTCAGAATTACGTTCAAATAATGTTTTATATACAATAAGAAATAAATTCAGCTACAATACATATTATTAGATATATATATTTAGGGATAATTATATTTCAAGTTGAGTCAATTTTTTTACTCATTCAGACAAAATCCGAATATCAAACTCCTTCACTTGCATTCAATCTGATTTGTATTCAATAGGACTCCATCCGACTCAATATCTAATTAAAAAATTAATATAGAAAGGAATATTATTACAATTATTCTTAAATAGTTAAGGGATAATTATAATATTATATCAAATCAAATCAAAAATTTTCACCATAAATATGAACTTAACCTAACCCTTAAAAAATTGACACAACACAACCTAAACTCAATTTTTTTTAAATTAAACATGAATCCAACTAAATCGAGTCAAGTTAAAACCCTCAAATCCGAATAGAATACCCATCCTTATATATTGAACTCACCATTTTGATACTTTAATTTCTTTAGTTGACATTATTATATGTACTTGGAATTCTTGTTATATAATACAGGATAGTATGAATGCTAAAAAAACGTATTTGTATGTTTTGAGAGATTTCATTACAAAATTAATTAGAATTTTAAATATTGTTTTATCAAGTGATATTATTGTTAAATTTTCATAATTACATATTTTATCCTATAATTAAAATAAATAAGATTTAAGGATCATATAAAACAAAAAATATTTATTGTGATTTATTTTTAAAATCAAAATATGGTATAATGATCGTATAAAAGATTTGAGCAAAAAACTGATAAATGTTTGCCATACAAATGGTAAACTCAAGCATAGATGCCAATTACGCCAATATATCCCATAATCGGTACAAGAAAATATATGAGACGGTAGGTGAGATGGGGAGAGACTCGAGAGGGATGGATATGTTTAATAATGATGAAGAAAATACGCAAAAACTACCACTTCACAAGGGTTAAGCTTAAAACTTTAAACACTGATTTCTAAGTAAAAACACAGAAAGGTCAACCACAAACTTATTGATATTTAATATCCATGAAGTTACCGCTGCAGCTAGTCCATCATATCCATCTGTTATCTAATCTAAAATTCCATTCTTGGTTATTATCTATTAATATCAAGTTAACTGTTCATATCTAAGAAGGGCAAGCTATCCAGAATAAATCTAACCAGATCTAATCAGCAAATTATTCATCTTCATCCTGCAATAACACAGAAGATTAAACAAATTAAAATCCAATCTAGAAAACAGTAAATCACATTTGTTTATTAATCTCCAGATAGAGTAAGTTGAATTAGAACCAACCTCTCCGCTCCCCCCTTCATCATCGTTAACTTCAGACTTTGACTTATCAGATTCATCTTCGTTTCCTCCACCACCAGCCTACAAACGTAAAATCAAAATTAAATCTATGGTATTAATTGCATAAACTAACAACAAATAATAATGAAAAATAAATATTATTATTTACCAGTTTCAGGTTATATGCCTGGATGTTCTTGTTGTACTCAGTTTTGCGCTTCTCTGCCTTGTCAACATAAGGAGCCTTCTCCTGAAATTCCGAAAGATATTAGAAAATTCTTCTGAAAAATACAAGTCTATCAAGTAACTAAAATCTAAAATATAGTACTAGTACTAGCGTTATATGATTTTCACCAAAATAGGCAAAAAGAAAAGAATAGTACTCACAGCATCTGTCAAGCTCTTCCACTTCGCGCCACCAGCTTTGCCAACCTGAATACAAAAATTTAACAAATAAGATCTTGAATCCAAATTCTAATTATCAAATTGAAGAGAGAAACTAAAGAGACTAAGGATTTTTGCTAACAATGATGACTCACAGCAGCGACGGATTTGTTTTCAGGATTCTCCTCTTTGTACTGCTTCCTGAACTCCTCCCTTAATTGATCAATCAATTGTGTAATGAATAATAAGGAAAAATAATCAACACGCGGCAAAATAAGTCGTTATGGGAATATATATATATATATATATATATAATACATGAAAACGAAGAAAGCACTGGGAGGCCTTTTTGGCTTGTTTGGATCTTTGGCGGCCTTCTTCGCACGCTTTCCAACGCCAGCGCCTTTGCTTTTCAGTCTATCAAAAAAAATCGAATACAGAAATAAATTCAGTGACGAACTCGGCAGATCTTACGTCCCTCATGGTTGATATAAAAATAATTAGGAAGCAAAACACAAATTAATCGAATAGAACAGTGCAAAATTACTTGTTGCCAGTTTTCCTCGAATCAGACTTCGTTTGACCACTTTTCATGATGAATCCTAAGAAAAATCGGCAAAAAAAACAAAAAGGAACACTCAGGTTTCGGTCAGAACCAGTTTAATAGGGGATTGAGTCGGTGCCCTGAGTAACCTGAAGGCTTTGCCTTGGGAAATAAGTAGGCGAAGAGATACAGGAGAGAGTTCTTTTCAGATTTGTACTTTAGAGCGGTTAGGAGTGTGGGGGAATGGGATTTGCCTAAAACTAAAGGGGTGTTTGGATGGGGAATGTGAGATTCTCATGGGAATGGAATTTATATTTCCCGTTTGGTTAATCCGGGAATCTCATTCCCGGTAATGTAAGATTACCAATAGTGTATTTTTTAAGGTATATTATCAGGAATGTCATTACCTCTATTTTTTTAGGTATTGTTGGATTCCTGGCGTTTTGGACTAAAATGCCCTTAATTTTTTTTAAATGTCATTTTTCTATCATTAAATAATAAAAATTATATGAATGTTAAATTACAAATATCCTTAACTATTTTAGATTTACAAAAAAATTCTATAATTAAAATTTTATATGAAGTTCAGGGGTTAAAATAAAATTTTACCCTTTCATTAAACCTTTTTATATTTTTAATTTTGTAAAAAAATTATATAAATTTTATGAATTTAAATTTTTTAAAAAAATATATAAATATTTTTCAACTTGTTTAAAAAACAAATATATAATAAGGACAATTTGGTCAAATATACATTCCAATAATCTTTTATTTTTTTAACCAAACACGGTAATCTTATATTTCTGCTAAGCCAACCAAACACAAAATACAACATTCCCAGTAATCCTATTCCCTGGTAATCTTACATTCTCACTGGTAATCTTCCATTACGTGAACTAAACGCATCCAAAGGGATTTTGTACTAAAGAGGAAGTATATAAAAAGTTAAAATCGAATAACGAAAAATATTGGAGCCCGCGTTTAGACGGGAGTTTAAAAAAGTAAATCTTTCCTGTCTCGTCATTGATTCTTATCACATCAAGAGAAAAAAAAATAATACAATTATCACATTATTTTTTTTTTCTTCAAAAGTACAAAGATCATGATGACCTTTTGTCCAAAAAAAAATATTTTTGTTCCTACAAAGTTTTTTGTTAAACAATTGTATGGAAATTAAAGATAATAAATGTGCGTTATTCATGGGTTAGATATTATATTTAAAATCTCTTTTAGTATATGTAATTTGATTAAAAATTATGAGAATAAATTGCAAGGTACTTATAAAAAGTACAAATATATGAAAAGAAATCCTATACGATTTTTAAACATAATTATTGTTTTTATATATTCATATATTTTTGTTTTCGTACGATTCATTTATAGTTTTCTATACGTATTTTATATGTATACATGTGTTTATTTTTTATCAATTAATAATTATTTTCAATAATTTATATATAATATTATAATTTATAAACATTAAAAATTTCAAATCATAACTTGATTAATTATATAATATTTAAATTTATAATTTTAAGTGTTGATAATTAATAATTTATAGTGTGATAGAATATATATATATATATATATAATATTTTAAAATATATTTAATCATTAAAAATATACATGTTTATAATGTATCTATTTTATTCTCATCATTTCACTTATTTTATTGTTATTTCGTGAAGCATTTAGAACAGACCAAACTTTTACTTGTATCAGGGATGTCTATTGGGTAATTCTTACATTGTTCGTTTCTTACAATCTGCATTCAAAGCGCTTGTTGTATTTATTGTTTATTCGTGCCATCCATTGCCTCACGCTGATATTAGATATTAAAATTCTTTAATACAATTTTCCAGGTACGATTATTGTTGGTAACGCTCAATCGATAGCTAACTTGATGGATGCAAGTGTGGTTGAAGCCCACGTTCTTACCATTGGCATTCGTTTGACGAGTGAATTAGATTGACTTGCAATTATTATAGAGTGTGATGTTGCTAATGTAGTTAATCAACTGTCGCCTTTCTTATTGATGATACGGTTTCATTTGAACGGGACTCGTCGACTTTAGAATGTATATCGACGTTTTGACCCAAAAAAAATCACTATAAAAATAAAATATTTCCGATTTTGGATTCCCTGGAAGGTACCTCCCTGAGACGCGCCTTCCCTATTTTTTTATTAATTAATTTTTTATTCAATAATTTTATTAATGTTTTTGTTTAATTATATAAAGATAATTAAACAAAAAATTAAAATTAAAAAGCGTACATACCTCTACATCAACTTTCTTATAAATGAATAATCAGATATCTTGTAATTCTAATAATAAATTCTAACAATTTAAATAATATATGATCGATTTCCTAATATTTAAAAATTTAAAAAGAATATAATTTCATATTTTTATTGTATTGACAAAATGATGATTAGCATCCAATCACAACATCCCACATGTCATTTTTAACTTCAAATAATATATATAAACCAAATAAATTTACAATTAAATAATAAAATAATAAAAAATTATTGAATACAAAAATTACTTAATAAAATAATAAAAAATGAGGAAGGCACGCTCTAAGGGATGCACCTTCCAGGGAATCCAAAACCCGGGTAAAGCTCTCCCCAAGTGATGCGCCTTCAAGGGGAAATCTGATAATTATCTTCTCTCTCTTCCAAAAGGATGTTAGATTGAGAAATATTTGAGAAATGATAAATGATCGAAAATATTTTATTTTTAGAGTGATTTTTGGGTCAAAATGTCATGTATATCATCATATTTAAATCCATATCTTACTTTAAATTTATCTTTGATTTTGATATAATATGATTTTTTTAAATATATTAAGTTGTTAAGATTTGTATTTTGCGATTCTATAAATAATTTTTCATAAAATATTTTCAAGATGTTGAATCATGTTTTATAATATTTTGATATAACAAATTAAGGTAAAATATTTTTGGACTTGAATTGAATTTATTCAAAGTTTTCAAAAATAATTCAAAGTACATTTTTAAGCCTTGTTCCCAATTTTCTCTATTTACAAATGAAAAAAACCCACATTTCCCCCACATTGTTAAGCAGAAACAGTAAAAAAAATTCATTTTTAAGCCTTGTTCCCCTCTCTTTTGTGAAGTAGAAATTAAAGGTGGTTCAATTCTCACCCAAGCTTTTAATTCCAAAATCATTTCAAATGTGTCGAGACGACATCATAACACTGCTTTACACTATGATTATGTTCATAATTGCTCTATTTGTCCTTTAGCTAGACAGTCTAGGTTTACATTCCCAATTAGTAGTTCTAGAACTATTAATCCTTTCAGATTGATTCACATTGATTTGTGGGGACCTTATCGTATTTCAACTCATGCTGGTCAACGTTTTTTTTACTATTGTTGATGACTATACTAAAATGTCTTGAGTGTACTTATTAAAGCTTAAGAATGATGTTGTTTCTTGTCTTCAAAACTTTATCTTGATGGTTCAAACTCAATTTTATGTCTTAGTTAAAGTCATACGTAGTGACAATGGTCGTGAGTTTTTTTAATTCTGAATGTTCTCCCTTGTTTGAATCCTTGGGAATTATCCATCAAAGTTCTTGTGTGTATACTCCTCAGCAGAATGGGGTTGTAGAACGTAAACATAGGCATCTTTTGGAAGTTGCTCGAGCTTTTTGTTTTCAATCTCAAGTTCCTTTCAAATTCTGGGGAGAGTGTGTGTTAGCTGCCTGTTATATTATTAATAGGTTGCCTTCTTCAGTCTTGTCTTGGAAAACTCCTTTTGAACTTTTATATCATAAACCACCTACTTAGGATCATTTTAGAGTGTTTGGATTCTTATGTTTTGCAACAAATCTCACTCATCGTGATAAGTTTGATTCTCGTGCTTTTGCTTCTGTTGTTTGGGATATTCTCCAACTCAAAAGGGTTATTTGTTGTTTAATATCGATTCAAAAAAATTGTTCATTAGCAGAGATGTTAAATTTCATGAAGATCAGTTTCCTTTTCATCATTTTTATTCCTTTTATGATTCTATTTTTGTTTTTCCCATCTATTCCTTTTGTTCCTAATGGTGATTTTTTAGTATTAACCTCTCCAAGTTCTCATACTTTTGTTCCTCAAAAATAATGTTTATACTGAGCAGGTTTCTGCTGATAATGAACATGATTCTCAGGTTCCAGTCCAATTTTCTACTTCAATAAGTGCACATGTCCCTTTTATAAAGTCTTCTAGAGTGTCTAAGCCTCCTTCTTGGTTAAATAATTTTGTCTGTTCTTGTCAATCTTCTTCACCAGGTTTAAGCTCTAGTTATCTTTCTTACTCTCATTTTCCCACTCATACTCAAGTTTTTTTGTCTTCCATTCTCAAATTTCTGAGCCTCAATCTTATTTTGAGGCTGTTCAAAATCCCCTTTGGGTTCAAGCAATGCAAGAGGAAATTCATGCATTGGAATCTAATAGAACATGGTCCCTTGTTCCATTACCACCAAGAAAAGTTCCTATTGGATGTAAGTGGGTTTACAGGGTTAAGTACAAAGCATCAGGTGAAGTTGAGAGGTATAAAGCTCGTTTGGTTTCTAAAGGTTATAATCAATATGAGGGAATTGATTTTGTTGATACGTTCTTTCCTGTGGTCAAAATGGTTACTATTCGAACCATTTTAGCTTTTGTTTCTGCCTTCAATTGGACATTATTGCAGATGGATGTCTTCAATGCTTTTTTACAAGGATATCTTTATGAGGAAGTTTATATGCAGTTACCAGAAGGTTTTTGCAGTTAGGGGTAGAGGATTGTATGTCGACTGCAAAAATCATTGTATGGCCTTAAGCAAGCTTCCATACAATGGAATCTGAAACTTACAGAAGCCTTGATTTCAACTGGCTATGTTAAGAGCAAGTATGATTATTCTTTGTTCATCAAGAGGCAACAAGTTAAAATGTCTTTGTTGTTAGTATATGTTGATGATTTAGTAATAATAGGTGATAGTAAGTGTGTTGATTACTGAATTGAAGCAAATCTTGAATAATCATTTTAAGATGAATGATTTTTTGAATTGAAGTATTTATTTTAGGAATTGAAGTATTAAGATCAAAGGAAGGTATACTTTTGAATCAAAGAATGTACTTGAGTTAATCAAAGATACTGGTTTGGAAGAGGCCAAGTCTGTTGCCACTCCATTAGAACAAAATTTGAAATTGACTTCTTTGGATTATGATAAAGTTGTGCAACATAATGTTGAAGATAAGTATGATCTGGTTGAAGATAAATAAATTTACCAAAGACTTATTGGGAGATTGATTTATTTGACATATACAAAGTATGACATTACATATGCAATGAATTTTCTCAGTCAATTCATGCAGCAATCTAAGAGGTCTCATATGGAGGCAGCTTTAAGAATAGTCAAGTATGTAAAGAAAAAACCAGGACATGGAGTTTTGTTGATAACTTCTACATATTGTCAAATTTCAGCCTATTGTGATTTAGATTGGGGGTCATGTCCAATGATAAGAAAGTCTGTTACAGGGTTTTATATTAAGATTGGCGATTCACTGGTTTCATGGAAATCAAAGAAGCAAAATGTTGTAGCAAGATCTTCAGCAGAAGCAGAATATAGAGCTATGGCAGTAGTTACTTCTGAGTTAGTATGGTTACAAGGGTTACTTGCAGAACTTGGTATAAAAGGCTTGAAACCAATAAAGTTCTATTGTGACAATAAGGATGCTCTTCAAATAGCTGCTAATCCTGCGTATCATGAAATGAGAAAGCATATTGAGATTGACTGTCATTTTGTGAGAGAAAAAATTCAGAAGGGAATGATTCAAACCGAATATGTTTCAACACGTGAGCAGCATGCAAAAAATCATAACAAAAGCCTTGGGAAGCCAGCAACACAGTTATTTGTTATCCAAGTTAGGAGTTAAAAAGTTTTTAACATCCAACTTGAGGGGAGTATTAAGATTACAATTAGTTTTCTGTTATTAGTTAGTTAAAAGCAGTTTTGAATTCGTTAGGTAGTTAGAGTTGATACTTGTATATATTGTGAACAAATTGTAAGTTTATGTGTTAATGTGGATATGAGAAGTAATTTTTCATTTTTTCTGGTTTTACATTTTTAACAATGGGTCCATCCAAACTTGTTTACATAGGTATCGTCATCATCCTCGTGAAGTTCTTAAGGAAAAAAATCGGTTTATGATCCACGTTCATGCACGTAGCTGAGCTTAGTGCTCTTCCCTGATTCTGACTGAAATTTGCTGCTCTTGGAGATAAGTTTGGGAAGCTTTAATCATTTGTATTTACTACAAAGTTTGCATATTCATTTGAAAAAGAGGAGAAACTGGTGGAACCTTACAGATACGAGTTCATCTCTGCTTTAATCATCACGGGGATGATGACTGAAATTTCCCTTCGGTTTTGAATATTCAAGTGTCGCTCATGCTCTTCATGGAGCGTGTTTACATGGGTATCGTCACCATCCTCGTCAAGTTCTTTTGGAAAAAATCGGAGGAATGATACCAGCCCATGCAAGACGACGAGGAACTCGACAGCTCGAATTTTCCCGTTGTCTAAGTCCAAATCTAAATGTTCAATGAAAAAGTGGTCGGTTTCTCACCATTCTTCCGCTCCAATGTTCTTTCTGCTTTTTTGGGTTACTTCTGATGATGATGTGCTTGTTTGAATCAAAACAAGATTACAAAATCTCGATTGGAACGACTTGTGGTTTCATAGCCAACGGATCGTCTCAACATCAAGTGCTCAATAATTCGACCAACCCTACAATCAAGGTAAACTAGTCGCTAACAGATCACCATTGTTTTAGCTGTGAAATGCATTAAACATAGTTGGATTCTTGAAAGCAAATACTAGTGGAGTAAGAGTGCCAAATATTGGCGAGCAAAGGGATAAGCTTAACATGGAACACTATGAATATGTGGTCATTATCGATGCCGATTTCAGACCTGACCTTGATTTTCTCTGACGGAGCATACTGTCTTTGGTTCATAATCCCGACATTGCTAGGCTCAAGAACAACGAGACGCTCACAGAGGCATGGGGAAAAAGGCATTGAACTGCTCTTTTTTATTTAAAGTTGGAGAGACTGTGGCTTCACTTTGGGTTTTTATTAAAAGTTCAAGAGATGACTGATCAATGAGCTAAGTAAGCAATTAACGGTTCAACTCAGCTTTTCATCACTCACGTGAACAACTATTAACGTAAAATAATTAATTTATTACAAATCGATAACATTAATAATCAATTTATTATTTTTTAAATTTTAATGAGTAAAAAAATATATTTAATAATTAGTGATTATTTATATAATTTACCCTATTTAAAATTACAATAACCGTAATTGTGTCGAAAAAGAAACCCATAAACTGCAGGCTCCTTTATCTTTAGATTCTTACGATTTTTCTGCCTTCGCTCCGCCATGGACGACATTCCACCCTACCCTCCAATCGATCCAACCACCTTCGACCTCATCGTCATAGGCACGGGCCTTCCCGAATCCATCATAGCCGCCGCCGCCTCCACCGCCTCTAAATCCGTTCTCCACCTCGATCCCAATCCCTTTTACGGCTCCCACTTCTCTTCTCTCCCTCTCGCCGATCTCCCCTCATTCCTCTTCTCCCACTCAACCTCATCATCGCCACCGCCCTCAGCCTCTTCAGACGAACATCACCATTTTTCTTTTTTAGATTTATCTACTCGTCCTCTCTACTCCTCCATCGGTATCTCCAGTTTTTCCACTGACCTCGATCAATACTCCAGAAAATTCAACCTCGATGTGGCCGGACCTCGAGTTTTCTTTTGTGCCGATAAATCTATCGAATTGATACTAAATAACGGAGCTAATCAGTACATGGAGTTCAAGAGTATTGACGCCACTTTTGTAGGGGACAACAAGGGGAATCTCTTGAATGTGCCGGATTCCAGAGCTTCCATATTCAAAGACAAGAGCCTGGGACTCATGGAGAAGAATCTGTTAATGAGGTTCTTCAAGCTGGTGCAGGGACACTTGGCTGGCGAAGAAGACCTCAAGATTTCCGACGAGGATTTGTTGAGCCCGTTTGTTGATTTCTTGAATAAAATGGGATTGCCGCACAAAATTAAATCGTCTGTTAGTCACAAATTTTCATTTTTTTTGTTTTTCCCATCTCTAGTTGTCCTCCTCATTGCTTCAAATCATGGGCGTGATTCTCAACCGCATGCGACCCCCCCGTCTTTGCAGGTTTATACTGTATGCGATCGCAATGGCGGATTATGATCAAGAAGATACTGGAGTTTGTGGAGATTTGCTGAAGACAAAAGATGGGATCGATCGGCTGGCTCTGTATAATGCATCCATTGGCAGGTTAACTTTTATGTTCATTATGCAAGTCAAACCTTCAACTAAAAAATTTCAATTCCATGTTGAAATTTGGACAGGAACTTGTTATAGCAGATTCAGTCTATATTTATGTATAATGTCCTGTCTCTAGGTTTCAAAATGCATCTGGGGCTTTGTTATATCCTATCTATGGGCAAGGAGAACTATCCCAAGCTTTTTGCCGTCGTGCTGCTGTCAAAGGTTGCATCTATGTAAGTTGAAGAGGAGATAATTCTTGTGCTTGCCCGTGTATTTATCATTTGTGTTTACATTTCTTTTATCTTCTTTATCCTGATGTGCACTGGCGGAGCCTGTTGTTATTGAGGGGTGTCAATTTGTTTTTCATATTTTTATATATACATTTGTATATAATATAAAATTAAGAAAACAACACCCTTTCTTAAAAAGTTTTGACACAGTATGTATTAAGGGGTTCATTTGTTTAACTCAGTCACCGATTGAACTAAATTTTTATTAATCGAATTAATCATTTTTTTCTTTATCTATTAATCTAATCGAATTGAATAAAGTTTGATTAATTCGATCGATGATGGAATTAATCAAATGTTTTAATATATTTTTTAACTAGATTAATTTAAATTTAATATAGATATTTTTTATTTGGGTCAAATTTTAATTATATCTTGATAATTTAATGGATCTAAAGTGATTAAAAAATAATTTGGTCTTAATTCTTAATAGATTTGAGCTTAAAATATGTATTTAATATTTTGGCTAATTTGATTAATTTAGTTAATTAACTGCTTTCAAATCGAATTAACTGTTAAATATTGAAAAAATAATTGTTCCACAACCAAACTAATTTAGTGGCTGGTCGTTTTCACCGAATTAATTCAGTTCAGTCGATAAATTCGATTAAAACCAAAAAATGAACACCCCTAGTATGCATGTATATTTTCTTTTGATTATTGTTTTAATAGCTTTGTAATAGTTTTTTTTATTAGTTTAGCTATATTTTACATTAATTTATCGAATGTTGATATTATATATTAATTTATTTGATTTTATTTAAACATCATAATTTAAAATTATGACACCATATTATGAAATTTCTATCTCCACCCCTGCTGATGTGGTATTTTTTACAAATGCTTTCATGTGAATTGAGTGGGTTCAGTTGCTTGATGTTTGAATGCTTGGTTGTCGACTACTTTATGCCAAGGGAAACCTTAATCAATCAAATCAGTGTTATTCTGTAGAAAAATTCCAGAAGAAAGTTACAATTGTTTTTTAAATAAAACTGTATAGGAATGGTGCCTTGAGTTACCAATCATTTCAGGCTACCCACTACCAAGTACAATTCATCCGAGTGTACTCCAAATTGAAGAAATTAGAGAGATGTAAATGGAGTTTATCTGCTTTAGTTCTCCTTAGCTATATTCATTTCCTCTATGAGTTGGTTGCAGTCATTTCATATCTTTGAGATGCCCAACACCAAACAACCTGATTTTTCAAGAAATTATTATGTTTTAGCTGTTAGATTATGCTAATCCATTTGAATATATCTGACACAGGTATTGCGTATGCCAGTTACTGCATTGCTTGTAGACAAGGTATTGAAGCATAAGCCAGAGTAAATCATGTTAGATATTTTGTTATGCTGAGCAGACTGTTATGATGTTAAGGTAAATGATCTTCATATTTTTTCCTTTGAAAACTTCTCAGGATACTGGGTGTTACAAGGGTGTTAAATTAGCTTCAGGTCAGGATATATTCAGCCAGAAATTGATCCTTGATCCAACCTTTAAGGTAACATTGCCAACAGGCTCATCCCCATCACCTCCACTTCAAGCAAAGCTTCCATTTTTCAGCCCGAAGGATGATAGAGGAAAGATTGTGAGGGGAATATGCATCACAAAGACTTCTTTGAAGCCTGATATGTCTAACTTTTTGGTTGTATATCCTCCAAGATGTAAGAACAATTTCCTTTTCTTTTGTTAAAGATTGTACACTAAGATAAAAAACCAATAACTGTCGGCTTTCCTTTTTTTCCCTAGCATTGTTTCCTGAGCAGGTTACTTCAATCAGACTTCTCCAAATAGCTAGCAATTTGGCTGTTTGTCCACCGGGCATGTAAGTTTGTTAGTTCCTGAATAGGATAGGTTTTATTTTCTTCCGGTTGTTTTGTGATGGTGAATTTTATCAACTGCCGTCTTTTAGCTTCCTTGTTGAGCTGCTTTTTTCATAATTAGCTTTGTACGTAACTATCATTTGTGATCAATTTTGTGGGAAGTGAGAATTGTCTACCTGGCATTTAGTCGTATTGTCTTTTGGACATTAAAAAAATTCAAATATAAGTTTTTATTGATAATGAAGTGAACAGAACAACTTGACCGTTATTATTATTTTTACCTTGGTTAATGTTTCAGATCTTATGCATACCTAAAATGGAGTAAGTGTAATTTATCTGCTTAATGCAAAAGTCTAAAAGCTTCTCTCTGTTTTATTCAGGTTTGTGTTATATATCTCAGCATTATGTAATGACGATGATCAAGGGAAGAAGTTAGTTCATGCAGTCATTAACACCTTTCTTACAGTTCCCCCTCCTATAAATTCTGAAAGTAATGCTGCAGTTCAAAGTGAGACTGTAGAAAGTGGTTGTGTAGTTCAAGATGGGACTGCAGAAAGTCCTGGAGAAGGAAAACCTACTTTACTTTGGAGTGCTTTGTATAGCCAGGAGCTCACTTTGGTATGTTTCTTATGGTCACTTTTTCTTGTGTGTTAATGTTTTGGTATTGCAGCGATGGGCCTCTATTTTGTTGTGCTGCCTTCTTTTTTTTTTTTTTTGGATAAGTGTGCTGTGCTGCCTTCTTTTTTCAGAATAATTATCACTTTTTCCAAAAATGCTTTACACTTGGGACAGGGTTTTAATGGGATCACTAAATTTGCCTAACAGTTGTCAGAACTTGGAGTTTTGTTAATGTGTTGTGTTGATGTCAATATATGGTTGATTGTTCGCCCTTTCAACAGAGTTATGTTTTATTTTCAGGGTCAAGTTGATTTTATCTGTTCAACTCCCATGCCAGATGGTAAACTGAACTACGATAATCTCATAGATGCTACTGTTAAGGTACATAATTTGCTGGTGTTTATAAATTTTAATATTCTACACACACACAATTGCCTGTTGTTGGGGTTGCTTTGTTTGAGCTTTTCATGTACTTTGTTCTTTGGGATGAACTTTCCTACTGTACTGAGTTACGGAATGTTGAACATTTCTGATTGCTAATCGGAAAGTAATACTGGTTGTGGAATATGACAGTTATTTAAGGAGATTTACCCTGAGGCTGAATTCTTTCCACAGACATCCTCAGAGAATCATGAGGATGATGGTGATGGTGATGTTTCACCGGAGACCTAAAGATTTGCGGAATGAGATATCCTCACTTTAATGGAGCATCAAACAATCATGATCCTTCTCCAAAATTGTGCTCAATGATCGGGGGATGCTTCTATCTAATTATATATTTGAAGAGGCGAAGGAAAAAGGGAGTGGAGTTTGATACACATTTTACAATTCCAAAACATGGTGATTTTTCGGATAGCTAAACCACTGTTGACTTGGTTTCCCTTTGTATAAACTTTTGTTCTATCCATCTTTTACCAGTTGTATTTTGGCAAGATCATTTTGCTACCTTTATATTCCTGATGTAACAGTAAAAAAATAACGTTTCCCCCGTGAAGTGACAGTTACGAGGTGTTTTCCGTTGCTTGCATTTGTTGAATGTTTAATTTACACACATTCTTCGAATAAAATATAAAGGTTGAAAATGCCTCCCGAAAAACAATTAGTAGTATCCTTTATGTTCCTTTTACAGCATTTCAAAATCTAGTTACCTCCGGCGTGTAAATTCGGCAGCAAAACCTCGAGGTTCTCTCAGAGTTTCAGGCCTACCACATTCATGGATAACAATGGAAAATCGGACGATCAGTGGTGTCTGGACTCGAGGGGCTTGAAGGAAATCAGCACATGTAAGGTGAGATATGCTGTGAGTGACCCTTTTGCACTGGCTCCTCATGCATGAACAGATGATAGTCTTCCAGGAGAATCGGACCTGCAGAAAAAAGTGTACTTCAGGTTCCTGTCCTATGTTTTGCTAATAATTGACCCAAAGCTTCAATCCTTGTCCTCGATGGTGTAGCATCTCCAGATCTTGTGAAAATGGTACAATGAATGAATGTAAAAGGCACAAGTAACATATTAATTACCTCTTGCTCCCACGGTGAGTGATGAGTTATTGTTCCAAACTGGAGTCCCCGAGTTGGTGGTCCAGAATGGGGAATTGAAGGCATTTGAGGGAAGATGCTGCATCCAAAAATAGCTCCAATAAGAAGATAAATAAAGATTACAAGATAAACTAGTGGACTTAGTTTTATCAGAAGATACTGTAAGATCAGCTGAAAACAAATACTAAACTGAACTTGGTAGCTGGGGGGACAAAAGAGAAAACGATATTAGCTTTATTTCTTCTGAATTTTGTTCTAAAGTTTCAACTTTCAACTATCAACATACTTTTTGTTCTTAATTTTTTCCCTAGAAATCAACCGAAATTCGAAAGACAGAGAAATTAAGAAAGAAAAATCAGATTCAGCAATGAAGATGCAGTTTTGTACCTTGTAAGGATCCATGATAAGAGAGAGAGGAAGTAAGAGTGAAGAGTGAAGAGCGAAGGAAACTCCGGGCTTGTTTGTGTTCTGATTTCAGTGATTTGTATATATATATATACAGTACTTAGAAGCTTCTTTGTTAGGATATATCATGAAGCAGTACTATAATTTGATTATGACATATTTAAGATTGGTTTAGACCTTTGCTTTAAGCAACTTCTGGATTATGAGAAACAATAAGAAAAAGAAGAGAACATAAACTGAAAAAAAAAACAGGCCACGGTGAGATGAACTTATCCCACATTTTGTGATTTCAGGATAAACCTATCGAGTGATTTTAGTAATAAGAAAATGTTATTTTCTTTAAAAATTTGAATTTATATAGATTCACATACAAGATGTATAATTAATTTAACTCTTCTACATTTATATATGTATATAATTATATATACATGTTATTGAAATTTTTTTCCTGCTAGGCGTGTTTCGTTTGATATGCCATGAAGTGTGTTTAATATGATATCTATGCATTAAATTTTAGGGTTTTCGAGAAATAACAATCATACGTAAATGTGTCAATTTTTTACATTGAATTTTAGGGTTTTCGAGAAGTAACGGTTATACGTAAATATGTCAATTTTTTACATTAAATTTTAGGGTTTTAGAAAAAATTTAAACTTCGTGCAATCACTATTCTCAAAAACCCTAAAATGCATAACTATAAAATTACACACACTTGTACAATGTCAAATTTTTTCTAATGTAATATGTGTATATATATTTATTAATGTAGGAAAGTGAATTTATCAATCCAAAAAGATCATATAAAAGATTATCGTTAGATGTAAAGAGAGTTATGTGTTAAAAGAGTAACCAAAGACGTTGAATGATTATGTGATGCAAGAGGGAGAAAAATCTAATCTTGTGTAGTATGTCAATGAAGTAGTGACCTGAGAAAAGGGATATAAATAACTTGTTAAACTTAATATGTACATGTAAGTAGTCTGCATTTGAAGGAATCATCCACCATAACATATACGTCAACCTAAATCTAAAAGACCTGGTCAGGTGCTTCGGACCCCAAAGCCACTAGTCGTTTTGCTAGCCAGACTAGACGTTCTAGTTGCAATATCAACACCAATCGACACTCAATCTCAAGCCAATTTAACAAGGCGGGCAAACCAATTTGATTATATCATCAATCTGTATAGACATATGACCAATTCCTTGCAAGAAACATTGAAAGACGAAAACATATGATGATGAGCATTTAGATGATAATTTCATCGGATAACACAAACTTTAACATTCTGAAACTTGATGTTGCATCATACAGGGAATTGATGAAATGGCAGATACTATTTGAAACTAAAAGCAAACATGTTTTATTTTCTGAAGAAAATCACGGATCTTATTTGTTCTGCAACACCATGAGAAGTTGCATGCCTTAACTTTTGCCATCATCATCACCATCACCATCATCATCATTTTTCTCCGGTGGTGGAGGGTTATTCAGATCCAATAGAAAACTGGTTCCAGGCTCATTGAGATCAATATCCAAGCCCCACCCTCTTCCTCCCATGGAAAAAGAAGCATCCTCTTCTTGGCTCATCTTGTGCATGGTTTCATAAGCCAGGTTCAACAGCGTGGGAGCTAGTTGATCCTTGAGGGCCTTCTCATCATTATTGTTCCTTTCCGGTGACCCCTCGGGAGGAGTAAACGACGGATGAGGAAACGCTCCCGGAGTTCCCCTTGGATGGGATTTCAAATGTCCAAACACCACCTTCCAGGATCCGAACCTTTTCTTACACACGTAACATGTAGGTTCAACACTGGGAACGTCCAAGTCCCCTTTCTTCGTCTCTTTCGAAACTCTTCCATTGTCACTGATGGACCCGACATCCACACCATCAGCATCAGTCCTCCCTCTTTTTCTGGTGGATATCGGCGGTGAAGAGGAAGAACCAGCAGCAGCAGCAGCAGCATCATCAGTCTTATTTTGCCCTTCACCACCACCACCACCACCACCTACAGCAGCAGCAACACCATCAGTCTTATTTTGCCCTTCACCACCACTACTACCACTACCAACAGCAGCAGCAACACCATCAGTCTTATTTTGCCCTTCACCACCGCCACCCTCATTGTCCCCATCACTTTTCTCATTCGGACAGTCATTTTCCTGTGATGATTGCTGCTTAAAGGACTCGGATTTCTCTTGCGGTGGTTGATCATTCGGGCCCGCCATGTTCAATATTCGGAGAAATCAAGGAAATGACTGTTTACAGATCAGAAAACGCTGGGCTTCGCTTGTTTTTTTATATTGTTTTTTTGAACTCAGTGGCGGTTACTTCCCGTTAACTCCATATACCAGTAGGACACTGTTCATCTTGACATGTTACATCTCTCTTTGCATGTATACATATCGCTCAACGTACGGTGAGGATAGCAAATCAGATTTCAGTGAGCGGATTATTAACTATTATTAGAACGTCGTGTTTGTTACCGGAAATTAGTAAAAAAATGAAGCTTTTTTGGTACTGTTTTTCTTTAAATGTGAAAACAATTATGTGATATCCATATAAGTGGATTAAGGGGTGGGGGTGCATGAAATTAGACAGCAAATATGAATTTGAAAATCCAGGCACGCAGATAGAATCTCCTAAACTTTCCTTATATATATTAATGAAGATTTGTTAGCTTTAATTCATTAATGACTGGCTTTAGCATTTATGTGACTTCATAGCTCATTAACCTTCGCTTAATGTACATGATTAAGAGTTGAGAATGCATTAATTGATAGGCACGGATTGGTGCCAAAGACAAGGACCCATGTATAGGTGTTTTCAATAATGGAGTTCAGTCGTTAAAATTTGAATACATTTTTATTAAATAATTGTGAAAATCGATTAAACTAACGTCACACACGTATTTTTATAAACAACGTTTATATATTAGATTATTCGGTCGATTGAGTTCAGACACGTACACTCTTTCATAAAGAATGTTTTAGATCGATCGAGTTTAGATACGTGCATTCTTTTACAAAGAATGTTTATATATTAGATGATTCGGTCGATCGAGTTTAGAAATATGCATTGTTTTATAAAGAATGTTTATATATTAGATGCTTCGATCCATGAGTTTATACATATATGTTAAAAGATTTAAACATATTTATTAATTCGAGCAACACATATACGCTACTTTATAAAGAATGCTTATATAAGGTTTCAATAAAAGAGGTCAAATGTTAAGTTTTCAATAAAGGAGGTCAAATGCTAAGTTAGAACATATTCATTAAATACTTGACTTTTAAACATATTTTTATTAGATAATTGCATAAATCGATTAAATTAATGACACATGTACATTTCTTTATAACGAATATTTATATATTAGACGATTCAATTGATTGAGTTTAAACATATATATTTAAATTTAAACATATTTATTATATCGAATTAAATTCTAGCTATAGATTTCTTAGATGAATACCAACAACACATACATTTCTTTGTAAAGAATGTTTATATAAGTTTTCAACAACGTAGGTTGAATGCTAAGTTATAACATATTCATTAGAAACTTGAGTTTTGAACATATTTTTATTGTATAATTACATAAATGTTACGTTTTATTCAACATCTTTTTACTGCTTTAGAAGGACACATTCATGGACAATTGTAGCTGGCTAGCTAAAATGAGTCATGGTAAACCTATTACAAAACAAAACCTTATACAAAACAGACCTTATACAAAACAAAGCTTAATAGTTAGGCATATGGAGCCAATCCGACATGGGCTATGACAAAGTTTTTAATCACAGAAAAATGGTTTACGAGCGGAGCCCATATGGCCGCAGCCCAAAGACGTTTCTCAAATCTAAAGAAGTACCAAACAAATTGGCTGCTCACCGCGAAAGTTTAGAGCCGGCCGGGCAGCAAGGAGCGTACCAGCAAGGAAGGAGCGTACCAGCACCTTGTCATGGGAGCCGGCCGGGCAGCAAGGAGCGTACCAGCAACAAAACATAACATGACCTAACACAGATATCCATGGCGATTTTCATGAGAGCAAAAAAGTTATTCTCCACTTCTCTCAGATCCTTTACTCGGTTTCAGGTCTCTCCATGTTTTTTCTTTTACACTTGTCTTTTTATTTTGTTTGTAGCATTTTGTCGAATATCTTTTCGACATAAAACCAACTATGACCTTTTTTTTTTTGCTTAGAGGTGGAACCACACGTTAGGTGAAAGAAGTTTGCAAGGTGAATTATATTCTGAAATGGTTCCAGCGCCTAATCCCGCGCTTCAACAAAGTATCATGCTTTATTTAATTTAACGTCCTGTTTAGCATTTTTCAGTCATTATCTGGGAATTTAAACTCTCGAATTTTATTAAAATGGATGCAGTTGACACCTCAAAATGGAAGAAGATCCAAGCAAGCAAGGTGGGAATATCTGCTTCTATGATTTCGCATCCGTCCTGGGTTGTATTGAATATTCTTCATAAAGGAGGTAATCATCTGTTACATTACCCGTTTGTTTTATTAAATGTTTCCTGTTCCCAAAGCCTCGTTAATGTAGTTCTTTAAGCTAAAAATTGCAAGTTGAATCTTTTGACTTAGTTTGTTTTGTTCATACTATTTACTCATTTGGACAGATTTTTGTATCGAAAGCAATGCTACTTGCTTTTCCCCATGGTTATATTTTCCTTGAGTATTTCAGGGTTTGAAGCCTATTTAGTTGGAGGCTGTGTCAGAGATTTACTACTAAATAGAATACCTAAAGATTTTGATGTGATTACCACTGCAAATCTGAAACAAGTTTGGTCACAATTTTCTTGGTATTCTTCTTAGTTAGAATTTATAGGGTAATGTGGGTTGACATTAAATGTTTTCTATTGTTATTCGTAATATTTTGCTACAGATAAGAAGTAGATTTCATCGAGCTGTGATTATTGGACGAAGGTTTCCAATATGCAGAGTACAGATCAAAGGATCTATAATTGAGGTCAATTTCTGGGTTCATTACTATGGGTAACTTTTTATGTTACTTCTGGATGAGAATTGCCTCAGTTGCGGGAAGTTTCTTAATATGTAATATTGATTTTGAATGTTTCAATAGGTTTCAAGTTTTGAGACAGTTGCAAAACATGATGAAGAAAAAGAAAAAACTTTACCATCTTTAGTACCAAACAGATGTGATGAAAAAGACTTAATCCGCTGGAGAAATAGCAGGAATCGGGACTTCACTATTAACAGGTATTAGTTCTCATATGTTTATTTTGTTTATTCCTTGGAAAGAGCTATTATTGTCCATATATTAGCTTGTTAAGATCCCATTTTCCCATCTTCTCCGTGATTAAGCTTGAGTTTGATGCCGTCTAGTTGATAAAAAGTTTGTTTGAATTTTGGGTGCAGCTTATTTTTTGACCCTTTTACAAGTAACATCTATGATTACAATGATGGAATGTCAGATTTGAAATTGTTAAAGGTGATTTCATTCTCCACCTCTGCCAATAACAATTTTATGTGTTTCATAACATGCTCTAATATTTACCCTCTGACCCTTCTGTTTGGTCTCAGCTACGGACGTTAATCCCTGCTCATGTGTCATTTCAAGAGGACTGTGGTAGGTGATTTTAGCTTTACTGAGTGCAATCTCTTAAATTTTTTTTTTTGGATGGAACAACTTCTACATTATGGGGCATTAATGGAAATTTTCTGCAATTTATCTGACCTAGCAAGAATTCTCCGGGGCTTAAGAATTGCAGCTCGTCTATGCTTGTCATTTTCAAGGGATATAGAGAGGGCAATGCACGATCTTTCTGCCTCCATTGGGGGATTAGATAAGGTAGTTCAGTAATCAGTCGAGAACATTCCTGTTGTGTAGATAGTGGCTCTTCTCTCACTCGCTCTTGATCTGTCTCTCCATTTGCGACTCTGGGAGTCTTTTCTTGCCTCAACCGTATTGTGTCTAATTTACAACCTTTTGCCTTTGGACCCTTTTCTTTTTTGGTGTAAAATTAAGGTGACATTATCAATATTTACCTAATACTTACCATCATAATGTTCTACATTTATCCAGTTCAGGTTAATGTTGGAAATAAACTACATGCTGTCATATGGAGCTGCTGTGCCTTCCATCTGCTTGCTCCAGAGATTTAACCTGCTGAACATTTTACTTCCATTTCAGGTCCACACATTTTTAGCTTATGGTTGTCCATAATTTAATTTATTGAATTTAGTCATTATAGAGGTTAGCCGAGGCTTGTTTGCTTCGCAGGCAGCGTACATTGATCAACAGAGATCTGCCAAGAATTCAATGATGCTGATGGTGAGCTTGGTTCTATGTTCTGTATTTCTAATATTGTTGATAAAGAAGTCCTTATTTGTAGCATGAAGGAATTATGAAAGTTTTGTTTGCTATGCATTTCAAGTTGACTTTCTCAAGACTGCTTTGGGACAATATGAATACTCAGTATTAAAAGTATTTGGAATTCAAAGCGATTTATAGATATTAGTGCACCCTCTTGATATTCTCACTCCGTGTATATTAATACTTGCCTTGAAAGTTAAGGTATATCTTATAGAAAGTGTAATCTGAATGCTTTTTGAGTTTCAAACTTACGATAATAAATTGATAATTATTTATCTTCTGCAAAATACAACCATCATTGTGGTTATCTGGTTTGGCATGCTTGAAAATTTGATATATTTTTTACATAAATTTTGACAAATTTTCAAAATATTATTCCAGTCAATATGATATTTTCAAGGAACTGAAATACTTTCTACTGGCTTGCATACATATGATTTTTAATAAGGTCTTTGAGACACAAGAATTTAGGCTTGATTGTTTGACTTCCTGAATTGTCGTCCTTCGTCTTTTTGGCAGAAACTATTCTTCAATCTGGATAAGTTGGTTTCTTGTGATCATCCTGCTGATAGCAATCTATGGTGAGCCATTTGTCTGTTTTGTTTTTGTTCTCAGGCATAGAATATCTTAAGACTTCTTCTTTATCGTTGTCATTAGCAATAATCTCTTGGCTATTGTAAAGAGTAGTTAGACTTTCTTTTAGTTTACTGGAAATTTTGGCGATCTCTATTTTAACCTTTCTCAGATTGGGTTGAAAATTCGTCTCTAGTTGGGGAGATTGGTGCTTTAGTTTCTGTTAGAGATATTTTGGTTAGGCAGATTCCTAGGTCTTGTAATTGGGAGGCTGACAAATTAGCCAAGGAGGGGATTGGTTGATAGGTTTTAGTAGTCTTTTACTTTGGTGTTTTTTTTCTGGTGGTGTTTTGTTTTATGTAATCTTATGTTAGTTGGGTTATTAATATAATGGGGTACTCTTTTCCTCCTTTGTCAGCTGCCTCTGTTCAAGAGGCAACTATGAGGGAGGTTTTTAATGAGGCCTCCTATTCTTATCAAAAAAAAAAGATTGGGTTGAAAATATTATTTCTGAGAAGAATGAGCTTAAATGTATGTGGGAGTATTTTAACACTGCATATGATGGTTCATATTAAGAGGAATTATCACAATATGTAAACTAAAGGAACTGGTGGATGGTATGAAGTGGATTTTTTTTGTCATTATTTCAGCATCTGAGTAGTCCTTATCATTTTTCCTGCATGGAACAGGGTTGGAATGTTGATGTTTCACCTGGCATTGGTAAACAACCCTCAAGATGCTCTTGTCGTCTGGACCTTTGCTTCTGTTCTATATCATGGAAATTGGAAGGAAGGTGTTGAATTTGCAAGAGAACATACTAAATTGGATGTTAAATTCGTTCCTGAAATCTCAGGATTTTCAGAAACTAAATCAGATGAAGATCTTGCCAAAGAAGTTGCCCAGTTTGCATCTTCAGTGCAAAATTCTGTATGGGCCTTAACAGAGACTAGCAATCTACTTGAATCAATGTCCAAATATCCATTTTCTCCTTGCTCTGGATTGGTAAGTGCCTTTGACATCCACCCCATTGAATTTTTTTAGCTTTCTAATCAGAAAGACATGTTCATGTTTTTCATACTGAAGATAAAATAACTTGTCATCAGAAATGCCTCTATATCATGCCTTGATATGCTTTTGGTTTCTTACTAATAATTGACATTGTTCTAGTACATGAACTGTATACGTATCTTCTTTTAGTAAATAGTTTTTCTTTTTCCAGGTGTTTATACCAAAGAGCATTGCAAATAAAACTGCTAAACTATTTGCCCTGATAGTAGAAGATATTAAATCTTTCATAAAAGGAAGAGGGAGAATAAGTTCTGAGATTAACTATCACCTGCTTGGGATAGGGGATCCGTGTGAGACGAGATATGTGCTTGGCAAAATTATCTTAGAAACAATGAAGGCTGGTCCCTGTGGAAATGCAGCAGAAATAGCCACCGATGAGAACGACCGCCTACAACCAAAGGCCATCGAGGAGATTCCAACCAATAATAAATCTCCAGTGAAGAAGGATAAAAAATGTACCCCATTGTTACCGAAGAATCAAAAATTGGTTGAGAGCAACCAGAATCCTTCCGAGCTACATACTGCTACAAAGAAGCGGAAAGCGGTTGCTGATGAGAAAGGCATACTAAAGGCAATGGAGGAAATGTTGACCAATAATAAATCTCCAATGAAGGATAAAAACCGTGTCCCGTCATTATCAAACCCTGACAAGGGAAGAATGCCGAAGAAGCAAAAATTGGATGAGTGGAACCAGAATCCTTCCGAGCTACATACTGCCATAAAGAACCGGAAAGCAGTTGCAAAAGATGAACTCAGTATATCGGAGAAGGAAATAGGTCATTTGCGGGGTCAGGAAAATACAGTGGTAAAGGAATCGAAAAGCAAGAAGGGTAAGGCAAAGAAATCTAAGGAGCATACGAAGTTAGTAGCAGAGAAGTTGAAGCATCATTTTCCACCAGATGCAGCAAAGGGAAAAACAGAACAGAAAGAAACAGCAGGGAAGGAGAGAAATGGTGCAACTTCACTTTCTAGTCTCTTCACGAGACCACTTTGATTATGATGCGTTTGCATGCTACAATCTCTTTATGAACAGCAAATGCTGTGTACCAATGTTCTGTTAACACATGATGCCATGGATAGAGAACAGAGAGGAGAGGTATTATCACTGAATTTATGGAATTGTATTACACGTTTTAAATATAATATATAGTTATATTAAATACACTTAATTTAATTATACAATGATTTTCCAAATGTTCCAAATATATTTTTATACAACAATATTGTGATGTCTAAAAATATTTTAATTTTAGAATTGGAGAATGTACGTAGTTATATGAATAAGTTTTTTTTTTTTATTTTTTTAAATAATCTGAGATCTTATACGTATTAATATTTGTCAAAATAATTTTAATTAATTGATAATACACGACCGAGCTTTAATATTTTCCTTTAATAATTGAGATGTCATTAAAATATTTAATTTAACAAATTTTATAATTATTATTAGAAAAACGAAATTTTTAATTATATCGAAATAAAGAGTTCAAATTAGATTTCCAACTCTTTAAAGTTAAACATGTTATTATTCTCAACTATTATTAAACTAAAATATTTTAAAAAATAAACATATTATTTATTTCTTGCATCCCACGGATTAGAATTCGATTAGCGTACCAGTACCTTTCCATTTCAGTTTATTATTAAGATAAACAAAATACGAATAAAAGAAAGATCCAACTACCCAAAGGAAACCTAAACTCAAGCAATTCCTAAACGACACCGTTGTGTTTGTCCACTTCTCACCAACCCTCTTAGTGAAAGCAAATATCATTCAAAAGAACACTTTTTTCTGTAAGTACTCTCCACTTGCTTTCAGATCTTTCCCACCAGCTTGTTAACCTGCCCCCAAACGAAAATCTAATTCCATGGCTGCAACACCCTTAACCACCCCACACACTCCTCTCCTTCAGGAAACCCACCAAAGCCATTCCTTTCTCAAACCCAATACCGCCTTCCATTATCGAACCTCATGCAAGCCCTTCTCCGTTTCTTGTTCATCGACCATCCAAGATCGTCCCTCCCTCCAATCCCGGTCTCAAGATCGTGTCTTTAACTTTGCCGCCGGTCCCGCCACCTTGCCCGAGAACGTCCTCCTCAAGGCCCAGACCGAGCTCTACAACTGGCGCGGATCTGGCATGAGCGTCATGGAAATGAGTCACCGCGGGAAAGATTTCCGTTCAATTATCGAGAAAGCAGAGGCCGATCTACGTGCCCTTCTCAACATCTCCGAAGACTACGCCGTTTTGTTCCTCCAAGGCGGGGCGACCACTCAGTTCGCTTCTGTCCCTTTGAATCTCTGTGAGCCTGATGACACCGTTGATTATCTTGTTACCGGTTCGTGGGGTGATAAGGCTTTCAAAGAAGCTAAGAAATACTGCAAGCCGAAAGTCGCTTGGAATGGGAAATCGGAGAATTACGTGAGGGTTCCCTCGTTTGATGGTTTGGAACTAAGCCCGGATGCCAAGTATTTGCATATATGTGCCAATGAAACTATTTATGGGGTTGAGTTCAAGAACTACCCGGTTCCCGGCAATCCAAACGGGGTCCTTGTAGCTGACTTGTCTTCCAATTTCTGTTCCAAGCCTGTTGATGTAACCAAGTTTGGGTTAATTTATGCTGGTGCGCAGAAGAATGTTGGGCCATCAGGGGTTTGCATCGTGATCGTGAGGAAAGATCTTATAGGGAATGCACAAGAGATCACCCCAGTGATGCTTGATTACAAGATCCACGCTGACAACAACTCTTTGTATAATACGCCGCCTTGTTTCGGGATCTATATGTGCGGGCTGGTGTTTGAAGATCTTTTGGAGCAGGGAGGATTGAAGGAGGTTGAGAAGAAGAATGAAAAGAAAGCTGGTATTTTATACAATGCCATTGATGAAAGCAAAGGGTTCTACAGGTGTCCTGTCGAGAAATCGGTGAGGTCCCTGATGAATGTTCCGTTTACATTGGAGAAGTCGGAGTTGGAGGCCGAGTTTTTGAAGCAAGCCGAGAAGGAGAAGATGGTGCAGCTTAAGGGACATAGGTCGGTCGGTGGCATGCGAGCTTCCATTTACAATGCTATGCCTTTGGCTGGAGTTGAGAAGTTGGTTTCTTTCATGAAGGTTTTCCAGGCAAAGCATGCTTGATTCATGGCTCTTTCTATACAAGTGCTATTGTTCTCTTATGTCTGTGTTCACTCTTTATGTTTTCGCATTGGTTTTATGTCGGTACGGCTTAAGTACTGTTGATGATAAATTGCTAGCTATCATGTGTTTTTATCTGGGAAAATGCTGAAAGTTACCAAGCAGGGAAAGTTTAGCAAGATTTTTGTAGTAGATTAAAGACATGGTTTGCTTCTTTCATTTCCCATTCAGATTCTTAGGTGCACAATGTTGGATATTTATAATAAATCTCTTGAATTCTGATGTTTATGTGATCCATAATTAATTGCACTGCACATTTGAATTGTGGTATATGTCCAGAATTTTACATTCCCTCAACCGAATCCGAGTATTTTTGCGGACCTCAACACAAAGAATCAAGAAGAAACTCCTTCTTAGGCAGTACATGCAAATAGGAGCAACCTCGGAGTAAAATTTAGGTGAGATTCAACAAACGACCAATGTTGTATACCTAGGATTGCATCTGCATCATGTTAAGTTTCGTTTCTAAATTCATCTGAAGAATCCTATATATACGAAAATGAAAATCTTGATTAAAGAGAAAAACTTAGATCGATGTGTGCCATGGGCTTGTTGTACATGAGTATCTCTGGTTGCAGATATAGAGGGTCAATGATGCCACGAACTAAGATTCATATGCCAGATATAAGAATATGTTGTGATATATATGTTACATGCGGTAGTAGGTAGGAAGACTTGCCTAATATCGTGGTATATGCTATAGCATTATAAGCAAAGTATAAGCCACAACTTTAAACATCAGACGGTGAATTGATTTCACACCCTCTTCAGAACTAAACTGAAGAAGCATAACTATAACAGGAAGTAGATCTCCCACTTCACGTATTTGAAGAACCAACATTGGTTCCAAATCATTATGTGCATCATATTTGAAGTGTATAAAGCAAGTAAATTCAATTAAGTCCTGCCTGTGTGATTGTGAATTTTTGTACCTGTTTCAGGGAGCTCTACTATCTACTGTTTCATTAACTTAACTAAGCCTGCCTCCAGGTCACTTCTTTCCCGAAAAATTACAGTCTTAGTTCCCATGAAAACATAAATCCTTCTGTTTTTCTAGATATTACATTAAACTTTTAACACCTTGAAGAGAAATATGCGTTTAAACACATCAACTGATGGAATATCTTAACCTGTTCATCGAATTGGCCCTGTTGTGTTTTTTGTGGGAAACACTCCTTTGGAGTTATGGTATGTGCAACAGCAACATCAGTGTTTCCTAGGATTTTAGATTTTTTTTAATTCAGAATAATTTTAAATTTGAATTGTAGTGTTTAACTTTTTTTGTGTACTTCATTATACTTCATTTGTAGAACCAATAAAAATGTTAACTCTATAATTGATATTTTGTAGATAATAAATCTTAATGATGTAAACCATTTGTGCTTATTTGATTCTTTTTATAGGTATGTAATAATAGATGGTCATTTGAATCAATAGCTACAACGAAATAGGTATTTTGAACCAATCTCAATAATAAAAGAATTGATTGGAAACAAGCTATACAACAAAGAAATTAAATTTATCCATTCAATAATAGGTGCACTAATTAATACAGTCCCTATAATAGAGGTACCTGACAGAAACTTCACCCATAGCAGACAGACCAAAGTAGGGACTTGAAAAAAAAACATAAATAAGAAACTTCCTTGTCTTTGTCCATTTCCATCCTCTTATGGCTATAGTAGGGGTGATTATCGAGCAAGTCGATCACGAGTTGAGTAGTGCTCGACTCGTGTTCGTTAAAAAATTTTACTGTTCGACTCGTTGCTCGTTAAAATTGTGCTCGATTCGTACTCGTTAAAAAAATTTGTTGCTCAACTCGACTCGTTGCTCGTTAAGCTCACTAAAAATTTATTTTATTTTTTAACTAAAAATAAAATTTACTGATACTGCATGAGGATATTAGGGTTGGGTTTTTTTGTATTAAAATAATATTATTAATTAATAATATTTTATTATTTATTAAAAAAATAATAGAGTAGTTAACTTATTATTTTTTATTTTTTATTAATAAATTAATATTTATTTTTTTAGATTTATTTTTTGAATGAAATAATTTTGAAGTAATTACTAAAAATATATTTTAAAAAAATTAACAAGTTACTTGCGAACTTATCAGTCGAGTTAGACTTTACTCGGCTTAGCTCGCTAAGGTTTCGAGTCGAGTTCGGGTTCGAATCGAGCCAATTCCAGTTCGAACATTTACCGAACTTTGACCGAGTAGAGTTCGAGCTGCTCAACTTGTTGGGCACCCCTTGACTATACTATCCTCGTTAATTTTCCTAAAATTCTATCTTCTCTCTGATCTAATCATGAATTTTCCTATTAGCATATATATCTTCACAATTTCTTCTCAATTAATGGGGATTTAAATACAAACTGAAATTAATTAAAATGCATGGAGAGAGATTATTATTACATGCATAAAAAAGATGAAAACATGATTAAAACACACTTCAAACGCTGCCTCCCCTCCACAATCTGTCCCTCCACTTCTTCCCCCCCGCGCGCCCCGTTTAGAACTACACAATACTACATATTTACAGATCAATATCGAAGGAAAACAAAGAGCAAAATGAATAAGGAATTTTATAGCAGTTGTATTAGTATGTAAAAGATTACCATATTAATATGATCTATGAGACGCACCTCATTGAGTAGAGATGGAGACGGAAGGAGAAACGGAGTCAAGGGCGGGTGCACCGTGGACCCTTGGATGATTACTCTCCAATCCATAGTCCATCATCGGACGGTACTCCAAGTCTTCATCATGATCATACACGAATTCTGGGATCTCTATCATCCAAGCTCAGCAGCTAAGTTCCAACGGATTCGAGTGGTTCTTGATTTCTATGAACAGCTTTCAGGACAAAAGGTTAATTATGCTAAATCAAGCTTGTATTTCAGTCCATCCACAACTCCGACGATTTGTGAGCATCTGTGCTCTTTGGTGGGGTTTCATATGTTACAGAACCCAAAATGTATTTGGGTATGCCTTTGACCGTTGGCCGTTATAAAAATCAAGTGTTTGGATTTGTGCGAGACAAGGTAGTATCACGTGTTCGAGGCTGTACTAAGAATTTAATCTCCTATTGCTGGTAGAGTAGTGTACATTAAAGCTGTGGGGCAAGCTTTGTTAACATATGTTATGGGATGTTATTTGTTGTCGGATGGGGTGATTTCAGATATGATCGCAGTTTTTCTGTGTTATTGGTGGTTCGGTGACCCAAAGGAACACCGGTGGCCTCTTCTTGCTTGGGATATTTTGTGCCATCCGAAACGATTAGGCGGTCTTGGCTTTCAGGATTTTCGACTCTTCAATATTGCTATGGTTGGTAAGCAACTTTGGCGTTTTCTTAATTCTCCGGATAGTCTTGTGGCGCACATCTTCTCTGCCAAATACTTCCTCTAGTGATATTTTTTCTGCTAGTCTTGGTGATCACCCCTCGTTTGCATGGAGAAGCCTTCATTCGGCTATTCAGCAGTTGAGGCCCGAGTTTCATTAGCGTGTCGACATTAACAGTTCAGTTTGTATGCACCAAGCTGTTTGGGGGCGATAACTCACCCGCTCGCCTGGAATCACACTAACTTGATAGCCCCTCTTCAGATCAGATGTGGGGATTTCAAGGTTCTCGATGTTCCATGTTGGAATGCTCCGCTGGTTACTCAGGTGTTCTCATCTTCGGATGCACAGGCTATTCTCAACTGCATTATTTCGTCGGTAAATGTTAATATCCTTCTATGGAGTGGTCATTCTTCTGGCATATATTCTATCCGATCCGGGTGTAATTGGAATTGGCTTTGGCGACGCCATAACACTACTATTCCTGTGTCAAAGCTCTGACTCTGTCTATTTCGTCTGCCTATTCTGCCGCAAGTACGCATTTTTGGCTGGCGAGCTGCCCATGAAGCTCTTCTTGTTGGTCGACGATTATTTCTTGCTGGTTTAGATGCTGGTCATTGTTGTTTATGTGGAGATTTGGAAGAGACAGTCTCACATACGTTGCGTGATCGTTTGGAAGTGCAACCAATTTATGTTATTGCTGGATTTTCAACTGTTGTTCCTGCTCATTGCTCATCTTCTTTTGGATCGTGGCTGGAACATCAAATGAATACTCTTCCTCCTTCCATGTTTGTGTTACTCCTCATCTTAGTTTGGTAAATTTGGTATCGTCGCAACCTGTTTCTACATGACAACCAGTTGCTTCCGGGTTGGCATTTGCTTGCATCATCTGGAGTTTTGCTATCTTCATATATTAATGCTGCTAGAGATCCATTTTTATCAACTTCATCGGCAGGCCCATTTCTGAGATTTTGGTTGCCTTCGGGCAAACAAAAAAAAAGCCCCTCATCAAGATTTAAGTTACAATTTGTATTTGTCTTCTGTTGCATTGCGTTTATCGCTATTGCGAACATAATGCATGATACCGTGGTTATTGCAAGTATCGTGGCTGTGAATTTTTAATAACATAGGCAAGTGTGGACATAAAGATTATGAATATTGTGATTTTGGACGATGTTGTTATCATTGCATAACGGTCATCGTTGTGGTTACATAATGTTATTTAAGTAATTGTTCCTAGTAATAAGTGTTAAAAAATAAATTTTAAGGACAACTCCATAATAACAAGTATTAAAAAATGAGTCCATAATAAAAATATTAAAAAAATAAATTTTGAGAGTATGTTCATATTAACAAATACAAAAAAAATTAAATCTCTAATAAAAGTACTGAAAAAATTAGACTCATAATAAAAAATAAATATTAGAAAAGAAATTAAAATTTAAAAATATGTCACTAATAACAGATATTAAAAAATGGGCCATAACAATAAGTATTGAATAGTTAAGCCTTTAATAACGAATGTTAGAAAAAAATATTGGAAAAAATTGAGCCCCAATTTTTGAAAAATTATAAGTAGGCCCCTAATAATAAATATTAGAAAAATTAAGTCCATAATAATAAATGTTGGGAAAAAATTAAACACTTTATAACAAATATTAAAATAATGGGTCACATAACTGATATAAAACTATTTTTTCACAAGTATAATATATAATAAAAATTCTAGGCCCTGAGCAGTACCCCTCCTGCCCAGGCCCATATACGGCCTGTTCATCGGTTTTCACAACATGTCGATGGCAGAAACCTCCAACTGGGCCTGGAAAATTAACGTTAATGGTGCGTGTCCGATGGGAGTTGGATCCTCGGCGGTCGGTATCATTCTCCGTGACAGTGATGGCGTAGTAATAGCAGGTCGGGCTCTCCCGTTATCTGGCCCTCGTGACGTCAACATTGTTGAGGCTCAAGCCCTTTGCCATGATGTTCGCAAGGCAGTTGATGTGGAACAGTCAAATATCATTGTTGAAACCGATTCTCTGAATGTGGTGCGCCAACTGGAGACCATGACACTGATTGATCGGTGACACAGTTTTACTTGGCTGAAGTTCGTCAGTTGTTGGATTCTAATCCTCAGTCATGTTCGTCTTGAGGCGAATACTACTGCTCACTTGTTTACCGCTCATGTCTCTAGCTCTGATATAGCTTTGTATTGCGATTATGTTTATCCTACTTGTATTTCAAACGCTGCTATTACCGATGTTATCTTCGATTAATGAATGCATGGTTAAAGTTAAAAAAAAAGATTAACTATACTGATAAAATGAAATTTGAAAGACCAAATTGAGGATAAAAATACTAAAATGAAAGGGTTAAAGTAGATATTAAGTGTTATGAATAAGATAACACGTACAGGAGAAAAGTGCAAAACAGAATGAGAAAGATGAAAATGCAATGAAAGAAGCAGGAGAACAGTTTCAAAGTTCACCCAATGACAATTACATACCGATACTGAACCCACCAATCTCAACGCAAACATAAAACTTGAAAAATATTTAACAACCGGACTCGGTTGTTAAACACCGAGTCATCTCCTGAAGCCTAGAGCTTCTATCTACCATAATTTCCTGGTCAGTTTCACAAAATTTTGGCTTAGAAAGAAATTAATTCACGAGCTAATGCACTCTCAAGATTAATTGCTCAAATAGAGTGAAATCCACATTGTTGGCCATAGGTCGCCATGCCTTCCGGGCGACCTTGTAGGTCGCCATGCACTCCGGGCGACCTACCCTTGCCCAAACAGAGAGAATGAACGTGTTGCATGGCACATGCACGTCCCAACACATAGGTCGACATGCCCTCCGGGCGACCTTGTAGGTCGCCATGCACTCCGGGCGACCTACCCTCGCTCGACTGCCCTCGGATTCCCTCGCATAGCTCGTTCGGGTGCCTTCGGATTCCCTCGCATAGCTCGCTCGGCTGCCCTCGGATGCCCTCGCATAGCTCGTTCGGATGGCCTCGGATGCTCTTGGATAGCCTCGGTCGGATGGCCTCGGATGCCCAGCGTGTTGGGACGTGCATGGCACATGCTATCTCTTGTAGCTCGCCGGGAAGACATGGCGACCTAGTAGGTCGCCCAGAAGGCATGAAACCTACGGCCAACACTGTGGATTTCACCTTATTTGAACAATTAATCTTGGGAGTGCTTTATCTCGTGAATTAATTTTTTCCAGAACATTATCTCGAAAGTTTTGCCTAAAACTTCATTTGTTTTCTTCGCTCCAATTTTATTTTTAACTCCTAACCGTAACATTGTTGCAAATGAAATTACTTTGAGTAGAATAATAAATGGGTTCATGTACTGTTGCTCACTAGTAGCAGCTGATTCTACGAATATGGGTGTTTTCAGCTAATCCTAAAAAGTAATTTTTAGTTAACAAATTTTGTACCTGATGATAGAAGTTCTTTATCTGATATTTGGCAGTCCGCAAAGGAATGTGAATACCTGATTAATCTTGCCAAGCCTCATATGAAAAGGTCAACCGTTGTTGATAGTAAAACTGGCAAGACCGAAGATATTTTTTTAGTTTTTATTACCTTCACTGGTGTAATTTCTTTATCATGCTTCCTTCCTCGGACTCTGCTTTGGGTCGGTTTCCTTTTTGGTGCCCATGGTTGTAAAGTTACTCATGGCAACACAATAATATGCAGAGCACGGGGAAGGACTTCAAGTTCTCCACTGCGACGTTGCCAAAAATATGAACCCCACCATGACTACTTCACGGATGAATTCAATACTCGGAATGGGGGCCAGCGCATGGCTGCTGTACTTATGTATCTGTAAGTAAGATGACCAAATAACGTACTTTCACTTTTATTATTCTGGTGCATTATGTGAAAGCTCACATTTGCTTCTTTTTTACTTTCTTTTAACCGTTTTACAGCTCGCATGTTGAAGAAGGCGGAGAGACGGTGTTTCCTTCGGCAAAGGGGAACGTTAGTGCTGTGCGTTGGTGGAATGAATTATCTGAATGTGGAAAAGGAGGACTTTCTGTAAAACCAAAGATGGGTGATGCATTACTTTTCTGGAGCATGATACTTGATGCCACTCTGGATCCTTCAAGTCTGCATGGTTAGTTCTAGTCACTGATTAAATTTCTTCTTAGGTGTGTGCTTCAAATTATCCTGGACAATTTCTCTTCTTTTGTTTCCTTTTCTTTTTTAGGATAATTTAGAACTTACTGTTTTAACTTATCCAGGAGGCTGCCCCGTGATTCGAGGAAATAAGTGGTCGTCTACAAAATGGATGCGTGTCCAAGAATACAAGATTTGAACAATAATTATTCATCATGAAGGTAACCTTCTCTATCTAGTATTTGAGTTACCAAAATCATTTATATAAAGGGGTATGTTCATCAATTGAGGACTGTCCATTTTGATCTAGAACTCTTAAATTAGGTATTTGATTATGATTATTAATTTATACCATATGCTACGTTGGTATGGATCTTCAAAAGAGATTCAGTCTGCATTAAACAAGAAGTTCAAAAGAGATTCAGATTGCTGGAGGGACATGATTTCTTCTTCGTTGAGAGAGGGAATAAAGAACCCCACAAAAACCTGCTCCTGCATTGACCAAGATCCCCGTTGTTTTTCTTCGGACTCGTTCATGCTAGTCTTGCCTGCACATTATCTTTTATGGTCATTTTTTTGTTCATAGTCGGCAGGGTTTACTTAGATTACTTACTATCCTGGATGATGCTTTGGAAAGTTAAACCGAGAGCTCCACCACCCTTGTGTTCCAAGGGTGGAGCGCAACCTGTTCCTTTCCTCCCTCCTTTTTTCATGTAGTGGTAGTAGTGCTAGTAACAATTGTAATTTTAATCTTATTCAATGATTAAAAAAAATGATGTCAAAATAATTAAGTTTTCAGTTGACGCGTTTCATCACTCCTAGCATGTGAATTCAATACTCACTAAGAGCAAAAATTTTCCTTCCCTCTCCTTGAGGTAGATATTGTTAAAAAAATCATATAAAAGTAATTTAGAGATGTTAGAGCAATTAACCGTAATATATTTTAATTGAAAATATACACATGGTAAAGTGTATAAAAATAAGACCTTATTTTTAAAAGAATCAATTAAGCCTTTCATTCATTGTTCTGACATGTGTCCAAGTTTCTGATGCCATAGCATTGAAGAATCTAAACTATATGAGGCAACAGAGGCTTCTGCTTCTAGCAAAGTCTCTCCCTTCAGCATGTACAAGTTTACTGCTATCTTTTCACCTTTTATCACCACAAGCGCTCCACGGAACACCTTCATGATTCCTTTCCGTGTTTCAATCTTGCTTGCATTATTATCCAACAATCCGTAGGATAATAAATTTTTCTTCAGGCCTTTCACGTGCCGCACATCTCGAACAACTTTAATTGTTCCATCATACATCTTCAATTTGATGATTCTCACGCCAATGATCTCTAAGGCATGATCATTGCAACTATACACAGATCCTCCTGAGACAGGTTCATAATGATGAAACCATTCTCTTCTTGAGGTCATGTGATATGTTGCTCCTGAATCAATGAGTCATATATCTGCAAATCTTTTTTTACCTTCCACGGTGGTTGACGCTTCACAATATAGAGTATATCCATCATCTGAAGTGTTTGCGGTATTGCCTTGTGGATCGGAGTTTTTACCTAGACTCCAACAATCCTTCTTCAAGTGACCCTTCTTTCCACAGTTGTAGCACTTTAAATTCTTCTTGCTAATCGAATTTGATCTATCATGTTTGTGACGGCTGCTTTGGCCACGTTCTGTTGATCTCCCTCTCATCGTTGTCAACGCTTCTGCTTGTTGAAGATTTACTTGTATGTCTTCCTTGTTCTTGCGCTGATTTTCATCTTGTAGAACAACAACTGCAACATCATCGAAGACTAGACTGGTAACATTACTATTTGTCAAGTTGATGATGAGTTGATCATACGAATTAGATAGACTTTGAAGTAGAAGTTAAGCACGTTCTTGTTCTCCTATTGTACATCTTAAGGATGTAACTTGAGAAAACAAAGTGTTCAGTGTGTTAAAGTGTTCAGTGTGTTTAAGTGCTCCGTCACTAAAGTAGATTATGTCATCCGGAGAGTGTACAATTTCCTCTTAAAAATTTTTTTATTGTGCAACGATGTGACCTCGTACAGTTTGGTGAGATGATCCTATATTTAATTAGTTGTCTTCTTCTCCTTGATGCTTAACAATACTTCATCTGCTAATGTTAGATGAAAGTTTGCCATAACATTCCTGTCTATTTCGATCCATTTGTTGTCATCTGTGAAATCTACCGGCCTTTCACTGATAGCTGCTAGACAACCGTCTTTCCTCAGGATGACCTTCACCTTCAATTTCCACAATGAGAAATTTCTCCCATTGAACTTTTCAATATCAAATTTCGTTGTCATAGCTTGTATTACGGATAGCTCTCACTATTTCACTATCGTGAATAGTTCTCTGGAACCTTCAAAGAATGGGTAATACCTTCTTACTTTCTTATGTTAGATGATCCACCTTGTGGTAGCAACCACAAAGACAATAAGTAGATATTACACACTCAAATCTGGCTCTGATGCCAATTGTTGCGGAATATGGCTATCGAACAGAGCAAAATCGCAACTAATAATTTGAGAAAATAAAAAATGAAGATAAAGAAGACACAAATTTTGCATGGAAACCCCTAAATAATATAGGGTAAAAACCACGGACAAAGATAGAAGAATTTCACTATGAGAAAATAGGAATTACAATTTCTCTCGATCTAACAAGGAGAAAACAATAACAATTCTCTCTTGATAAAAAGGAGAAAACAACTCTCAAGAAAACTCTCTAAATTCTCTAATATTGGGAGAAAGCTATAATGATTTGGGGTGATTTTGAAGCAAAATGGGTTAGAGTATTTATAGTTGAATCTTAAGGACTAATCTTATAAATACACTAAAGTATAGGACTAAATTTGATAATTTTCCCTTACCAATTTCAACAAAATCATGCTGCCAAGTTGGAGCAAATCAGCCGCCCCATTAATGCTGCCATCTTGGAGAAAATCAGCCGCCCCATTAATGTTGTCATTTTATTTTTGACTTTCAACACGCATCAACATTATGGATTATCAATCAACGTCGTATATTATCACATCAACGTTGTATCAATAAACGACGATTTTCGTCGATCAAAGATCACATTGATTAGTTTTCTAGATTCAAAAACTTACTTAAATATTAAATGTTAAATTATTTTTTTCAAAAAGTTTGAAAGTATTAGAAATCATGAAGCCATATAATATAAAGAAATAAGAATTTATATGAATATATGTACCATGAACATTATCATATAGAAAACGAAACACAACTACTAAAAGCTTGCACGTCTTTAAAATTAAGATGGCGATGCCGTTGATGGAAATTAGTAATAATGCAGACAAACAATGAAAGAGATAAGAAAATATAGTCGTCAATAAGGCTCGAGAGTTCCTGAAGCCATGTGATGATTCCATCTGCTGTAATGCAAAATCAGAAATCTATTAACCTGTCAAAAAGAAAATCCAGATTTCTGGAACTTGATAGAATTAATAATCAATTAATTCTCACTATTTCTTTAATCAAGTTGTTAATATCAAATTAAAGTAAAGCACGAAGATAGGGTTGATTATGGACAATGAGAAGATCTGCTGATGCAAGGGTTCTCTCTTTTTCTTCAAAAGTCTGCTTCCTTCCAATGAAAATCTAGCGATCGTGACTATACAATAATCGAATCCCTTTTATAACGTAATCGGTAAGCTTATTAATTTTGGTTGGTGGGTAAGCTAAATAATGACCTGCATGCATGGCCGATGCAATGCTTATTTGCCAATACGTAACCCACTATATATAAATATAATTTATTAATTATGCTCTTAACAATGAATATCTTTGTAATCTTTCCACCAACTCCCCAAGCTGTTGGTAGTCCAATTGTGGTTTTCAATTTCATTTCTGATAGTTCTGGACGTAGAGGAAAATGTATAAAAATATTATATTGAACTGCAAATCATACATAATTAAAATGTTTGGTGGTATAGTACTATACTTGATTGTGGTTTCACATGAAAACACGCAGACCATGAAATTTCGAATTTTTAATCTTATCGAATAATTAAATTGAATATATATAAAGTACTATATGTTTAGTCTATGTAAGCTTTAAAATTTCCAACTTTATTATTTTTACTTTTGGATTTCGTTTTTTAGGTTATTCGATCTTTAAGTCTTTAGTGCATTTTTTTTTTAAATTTATGTAAAAGAACTCTACATTTTCCTATTAGTTTATATTTTTTTGGACTCGACTCAATTCACCGATGTTAAAGTATTTTCTTTCAAATTTAAATGTTAAAGAGAACAAGAAGAAAAAAATAATATATTTTGATTACACATTGAAACACCAAAAAACACTTGTAGATTGGATCAAAATAAAGTTGTAGCTTTGATTTGAGTTATTTTTATTAAATATCTATAATTTTAAAACTAAATAAATTAAATTCTACTAGTTTCATTTTAGATTTTAAATTTATGACTAGATTTTAATTCATTAATATTTATATTTGTTCATATTTATTTTCTAATTTCGTTCTTCCATGCAACGAGAAAAATCATATATCTTCCTTCTCAGTCTAGACAGACGCAAAATCTTATACTAAGGAACAAATTTTTAAAATTTTTAGAAGAAAAAAATTATAAAATTATAGGAGATCGAAAGTAAATTGTTAAATAAAAACATAAAAAAATTATTATATTTAAACGTTTTAAATTTAAACATCAATAATTATAATAGAATGATTGAGTATTATTATTATTAAATGATTAAAAATATTTAAAATAAATTAAAATTTATAATCACCCATTTAATAAAAAAAACTTAAAACATAGAGAGAGAAAATAGGGAAGATATTTTCTTTCGTCCACAAAGACAGAAATTTTCATGTTTCAACTAAAGTAGGTAGAGAGAGAAAATGAGATATGCATCAGTATTTTAAATAGCGGAGCGCAAACGTGATAGCGGCCGCTATTTCGTGGTAGCACCGTCGTCTGATACCGCTATTATCCAAAATACCAGTATGAAGCAGAATCACACTGATAGCGGTCGATTGCGGTCGTAACTTAATGGGTAACAGCCGATCACGGTGATAACGAACCACTATTCCCGTTACACCAAATCAATTACTAAAACTCACACAAATTTTCTAGGTTTTCAGGGGGAAGAGTAAAGCTTGGAAGAAAGAAAAAAAAGAAGGAAAATGACCAGACCCATACCTGTTTTTTGGACAACAAAGAGAGAAAAACATGGGAACATGATGTTTCAATTGATGATTTTCAACAAAGAAAGAGCAGAGGAATCCATACTTGATTTTCAATTGATGATAGCAGCGATCTAGCGACACCCAAACACCCGATGTTCCAATTGATATTTTCAACAAAGAAAGAGCATGGGAACTCATACCTGATTTTGTTGTGTATCTCTGCCTCCCTTCTCTCACGAGAGAGAAGAAGAAGAGGCTTGGGGATTTAAATTTTTTTATTTTATTTATGTTTTAGATTTTAAATATTTTTTTAGTTTTAATATTTTGGGTTTGGACCAAGAGAAATCTCAATAAATTAATAAGATTTGGGTTACTATGTTATGGGTTTTTTTTGTTGGGTTTATTTTAATTTTGTGAGTTTTAAATTTTAATATGTTGTTTTTGGTAAGTGAATAATAATAGATAATTTTATGAGTTAATTTTTTAAGTGATTATTTTATTTTAAGAGATTGAATGTTAAATTTAAATTTTATATACTTAAATTATTTTTATTATTTATTAATTTATGCAATAAACTTACGTTTCTTTAGTGTTAGTAAATGTTTATTATATTTTGTATTATATTATTGATAATAGAAGTAATGGATTGTTTTATATTTATAAATTCTAATTTTAATTGTATGTATCTTGTATAATATTTTTTAAGAAATTTATAAATAAATATAAGAATAATTAATGATGGTAAAAATTATGATCATATATTAATACAAGTTTTTAGTTCATAAGTGTTAGAAAACACTCTAAATATCATTAAAATTGATTTTTTATAATTATAATTATAATTTATTATATTTTGTAATAAGTTGTGCAAATTAAAAAATAAATTCACGTTCATGATACCCGCAGTGACCACAATAACATCCGTTATATCTACGACCGTGATAAACATAACGCAACTAAAAACACAATCATGACCGCAATTTGAATCCCTCGTACATCATAAAAATATTGAAGCTTTAAATGCGAGTTGGTTGATTTTCCTCTCATGGGCACTAAGCATACCCAACCTACCTCTCTCTTTTTTCCCTATTTTTTTCACTATATATAAGCTTCTTCTTAAACCCCGTGATTAGTTGATCACCAGAAAGCCTTTTTCATTTCGTTTCTCGTTTGATTTCAAAAATTTAAAGGGAAAAAGGAATGGATGTTACGCATACCCATCTCGTTTTTCAGTGTCTTCATCGTCTTTGTTTGGAGATTTCATTGAAAAGATCAAATTTTCTTGCAATTTCGCTGTTTCTGTCATCATTGGGAAGTTTTTCTCTGCGATCTTAACCTTCTTCTTTGCATTAGGTTGGTTCCTTTTCTCTCTTGTCCTATGTTATGCTTCATTGTTTCCTCAAAAGCTTCTTTCCTTTTTCTTTTTGGACTTTTCGTTGATGATATAATTTAGAACTATTTTCATTGGAACCTCATTTGGTTCTTGTTCTATTCATTGCTTGCTATAAATTGAATTCAGCTTCTATTGAATTTTTACTATCGTTCTTTTATAGTAATTATTATCATTTCCTCATTGTTATTATATGCACAAAAGATGAATCGAATTTAGATTCTGTTCCATTTTTGGTGGATTGCAATGGATGGAAAAATGATTTTGCGTGCCGACAATTCGACAAAGCACTCCGGAAGTAATTTGTCTTACATTTATGACCAAAATACACCTTGAGTTAAAGACTTCTTGTTTGGATTCTTAGAATTCTTTAAGCCTTTTTACACTAGAATTTTGCTAATGAAATTCATCTGCAGTGGGCACCTTGCTAGGGGCCATGACGGGGGCTTTGATAGGACAAGAAATAGAGAGTGGGTTCGTTCGGGGCGCTGCAGTTGGGGCCATCTCCGGGGCAGTTTTCTCGATCGAAGTCTTCGAGTCGTCTCTGGTTCTTTGGCAGTCTGATGAATCCAGGATCGGTTGCTTGCTTTACTTGGTGAGCATTCCTGTTTATTGCCCTGGTTTTATATGTTTAGTCAGCGACTACGTTAGAGAGCGAATTTATAAAATTTTAATAGAATGGAAACAAATTATCAATAGAAAATATAATAAAATTTAAAATTTTCAGGGCGACCTTCGCCGCCAGTCCCGTTGGTTGATCCATGTGTTTAGTTGCTACTTTCTAAGAAGGGATATGGAAAAATGGTTCAGGAACTTGAGTACTCGTTAACGTATTGGCAAGTATCATAATTCGATGCCTGTGGCATGTCTTGAACCTAGTTTGAATAGTAACAATTAGCCTTCTATGAGACCTGTGCATACCCAGACTTTGGACTTGTTTAACCTCGGCTCGGCGAGTCCTGGAAGCATTTGCATAAATTTACTTCGGTTGTAGTAATTCTTCTATGTAATCTAAATCAATTTTGTTTTACTGCAAATTTCCAGATTGATGTCATTGCAATCCTTATAAGTGGGAGGCTTGTCCGAGAACGAATTGGTCCCGCGATGCTGAGCGCGGTCCAAAGCCAGGTAAGAAGAATTGAACTGCAAATTGATATCACTTTCATCAAACAGCAATTCGCTAATGATTTTCAGTTTCTGCTACCAGATGGGAGCTGCTGAAACAACTTTTGAGGATTTCCAGAACATATTCAACATCGGTGGTACCAAAGGATTGGATGGAGATTTGGTTGAAAAGATCCCAAAGATCAAAATCAAAAACAATAACAATGCCGACGGGGAGAAAGTTTCATGTTCCGTTAGCCTTCAGGTATAAACATACGGTACCCGTTTTTCGTAAAACTAGTTGCATAAGAAGCTTACCAGATTGAACCTTTATGCAGGACTTTCAGCTCGGAGAAATGGTCCGGAGCTTGCCACAGTGCCATCACATGTTCCACTTGTCTTGCATAGATAAGTGGCTTATTAGTCATGGTTCTTGTCCATTGTGCAGAAGAGACCTGTAATCTCGCTATTTTTTTGTAAATTATACAATTAGAATAGTTCCTCATAGTTTATGTCATACCGATGCTACTCGACGGGGCATGCTTCTTAGTCGAATCAGCCCTTTGTACAAGTTTTTTGATTCACAATTCAGGAACTTCAATCTTGAATAGATTTACAGTGCCTGCATATATGATCTGCTTGTTCTTTGATAGTGTTGCTTTATTGGTTAATCGGCCGCCGACGGCGTGCGGATATCAATCATGCAAAGGTTAGATGAGATACTAAAGTATGACGAGATCTAATTCTGGGTCTCATTTATGAAATTGCGGGGTGTTGCAATAAATATATGTATGGAAGCTGTTGCCTGAACATCAGATTAGTAAAAACAGTGTATTGAATTATATGGCCACTAGACATGGTCGGGTTTTCTTCTTCTTCTTAGATCTAACTTCATTGATTTCGGAATTTTATTTTAAATTTAAATTTTAATATGTTAATTATTGGGGAAAAAATTTGGACATCAATCTTATCTGTCAGAGCATGTATTGAATTAGTTCAGTTTATATAACTGTGTTTTTTTTACTTATTATCGACATATAACTTTTGCCGTGTGCGTTGCGTTAGAAGTTTTGTTTTCCAAGTTGGATCAGGTGAGACATTAATTTTCTTTTAGCGTAAACTATAAAAATAATCATTTTTGTTTGCGTTTTATAAATTATTTTATCGAATTTAAAAAACATATAATTTGGTCAATTTTGTTTTGTTTTAATTAAGATGTGGTCACTCAATGTTAACGGTTATTAAACCTTTAACGGTTTGATGATGAGACGCAGTAAATATATAAAATTAAAATTAGATCATTTCTATGAAGATAATACGCGGATTGAATTTTGGTGATTTTCCTTAAAAAAACATAAATTTTAGTTACTTACGTTATCGTTTTATTAAGTTTTGATTACTTAAGATATTGTTTTATTAAATTTTGGTCACTTAGACGTTGAATGTTGTTAGTTTAATGACGTGACCCGTTATTAAAATGAATTCATATTTATTTTAACCCCTAAATTTTAGATAAAATATTGATTATGAGCCTTTTTGTACATTCAAATTAGTTTATGGACAACATTTCAGTTTACCCATTTTTTAAATATTTTTTCTCCCCAACCCCAATATTACTCATCTTATCCCGGCTTCTTCTCTTAGCCTTCTTATTTCTAAGTATTAGTTGTAATTATATGAAGTCAAATTAGGTGGGTTCTCAGTTGTAAGAAAATGTATAAAAAAGAAATAATGAAGATTGTGGAAAATGTAAAGAATTTGTCATTAAAACTTTGAAAAGATTCACCACCATGACAACGTCGCTTTCTCGAGCTGAGAAAACTAGAACTTCTTCAATGTTGACGTTATTGACGACACAATACTAGGTTTCCATTTCTGACACGTTGTTGACCAACGAAATCCTCGTGAAAGATCGTCGAGAACGTTTCGTCGCATCCGAACGTGATCGACCTCCACGACATTTACGAAATCAAAGTGACGTTCACTTAGAATTTGAGCTCTGCTCTGATGGTGAGTGTTTTTATTTGGTCGTTTTGGAAATGAGGTACTCTGACGCTGACACGGTGGTGGTGGTGCGACAAATCACGCAGTCCACAAGGATTAACGATGATTCATAGGGATTTAGAATCGAAATATTGCTTGTTATTGAGAGAAAAAAAATAAAGATTTGAGATTGAAGATCATTGAGTTTACCTAGTCAATTACAATTAGGAGGTTCATAGAAAAATTATCCATCGATTATCATCATCACCATCAACATCTTCATCATAAAATCACCATTATTGTCTATCACCACTAAAACCCTAATTTTGACTAAGTTATTCATATCTTATTACATTCGTTGTCTTTGTTTTATTCATTATCTTTATTGTCTTCATCTTACTTTTTTATCCAATTTTTCATCAAACCTAAGCTCCCTTAAACCTTAATTGCGTCTGACACCATCCATTCTCATCCTCTCATTATTTAATCGAGTTTAGAACTTTCTAGGTTTGATTATTCGACAAGAGAAACATTCATTCTTTTGTTTCCGCATCTCTATCAATTGATATCAGATTTGGGACGATTCTTGGAGAGAATCACTTGGTTTTTCTTCATCTTGCAAGCATACACCGCCAAGATACCCAAAGAAGCTAGTTCGTGAAGATTCATCGTTTTTATGTTCTTTTTATATATATATTTTAATTTAGTTTCAATTCGTTCTTGTTAGTTTTCTATTTTCCATCAAAAATAAAGGAAAAATCATTTATTGATAATTTATTGAGTCTCCAAAAATTTTAAATTCTGGACATGTTATAAAGGTAATGGCGCACGCTTTCGACGCTCTCAAGGCTCACGTTAGCAGGTCTGATGGAGCCTGAGTTTCTCGTCGAATCGTCGGAGTTCTTAATGTCATTCATTCATTCTCTTCTATATGTTCTCTTATTTGTTCAATATTTCATCTTTCATCATGGATTGGAGGAAGCTATTCAAATGCCAAGAAGATCAAAAGTTAACCTATTTTCCTCCCAAATCGTCTGATGATTCCCCGACTGTCCGCTCGCCACCAGAGGTCTTCGAGGCAGGTATTGCTAACTGGAAATCATCTCTAATAGGTCAGTTCCTTGGGGTCGCGCCAAATTTCTCTGTTTTGCAAAGGATCGTTGCTAATATGTGGAACAACCATTCGAAAGGCACAAGTCCAGGTCAGTCTCGCTAGTAACAATCTTTATGTGTTTTCCTTCAATTCTGATGCTGATAGAGACTGGGTCCTTGAAAACGGGCCATGGCACATCCTCAACAAGCCTCTAATTTTAAGAAAATGGGAACCTAATATGCAACGATTAGATTTTGACTTAGCCCGATTGCCTATTTGGATTCATCTTTTTAATGTTCCTATTGAATTATATACTCAAGCTGGTCTCAGCTACATCTCTAGTGCTCTAGGAACTCCAATTTCTATGGATTATATAACTTCTTCTAAAACCAGACTTCACTTTGCTAAAGTTTGTGTTGAGATTGGAGCCAAGGAGAAAATTCCTAAAACTATTAAAGTGGAACTAGCTAACGGACAAAGTACTCTCATCTATGTTGAAGTTCTCTAGATTCCGAGCAGTTGTAGTAAATGTGTCTCTTTTGGACACTCTGATAAGAATTTCCCTTATAAACAATCAACAGATTCTCCAATAATGAAAATGTGGAGGAAAAAGGTTGTCTCTAGTACTAACTCAGAAGCTAACACTTCGGTTAGTCATGAAGAATTCCAGAACTTAAAACATGAACTTCCTCCCTTAAAGGAACAACCTGTCCCTAAGGACACTCACTCTGGAGAGGCTTTAGTTACTCAAATTTTCCTAACAGAGCATTCCCCAAAAGATGATTCTTCAATTCCTCCTTTCATTTCTGCTAGTGAAGGAAATCAGTCCTCAACAATACTCCACAGTGGAAAATCTGACAAAGATAACAATCTTTCTTTGCCTCTCTCTCATTCTCATAAGGATCCAGAGCCTACCTCTATCCCTAAAAGATGTAGAGGTAGGCCAATTAAGTTCAAATCTAAAATAGCTCTTAAGGGATCAGCTAACAGATTTGAAATCCTTAGTGCTGTTGATGAAGACTCACCAATTGTTGAGGTTCAAGTTAAGAAAACAAGACCAGCAGCTTCTGGAGTAGCTAATCTTCTTAAGGAACTTAAAGCAAAAAATAAGGAACAACTTGTTAAAGTAAAAACCCCTTTCAACAAAGAAAAAGGGGAAACCTCAAAACCTTTTTCCCAATGATTATTTGTTTTTTGAACATCAGAGGATTAAACAATCCTCTTAAGCAAATAAAAGTTCTCCAAAGAGCCCAGCTTTATAAAGTTGATATTATTTGCTTAATGAAGACTCGTATAAAGTCTGATGATTCTGTCAACATCTTACACTCCAAGTTTGGGAGCTGGAATGCTTTAACCAATTATGATTTTGCCTATAATGGAAGAATTTGGCTGCTCTGGAAAAAAGGAATTGATATCAGCTTCTGTAATTCTTCTGACCAAAGTATCTCTGTCAAGTGCCACTTCAATAGTACCCCTTTCTTACTCACTGCCATATATGGCATAATCTTAGAAGTCTTAATTCTCAGTTTCATTATCTCCCTTGGATTCTCGGAGGAGATTTTAACACTTACCTCCACTACCACGAAAGCTCTAACTCTGACCTATTAGGTCATTATCTCTCCACTGATATGAATGACTTCACTGAAGTGGTCCAAGACCTCCTCCTTCACGACCATCCATTTTTTGGCCCTACCTTTACATAGAGTAACAAACAAAAAGAAGCCTTCATTGCAAGGAAACTTGATAGAGTTCTCATAAACTCTCATTGGGTCAATTCCTTCAATAAGTCTTATGTTGAATTTTTTGCCCCTAGCCCTTTAGATCATTGTATGGCTCTAACATGGTTGAACAAAGAAGCCCATACCAACAGACCCAAACCTTTTAAGTTCTTCAATTTTTGTCCAACCATCCTTCTTTTCTTGATGAAGTGAGTCAATCATGGCAGCAATCTATTCATGGTAACCCTATGCAAGCTCTTTTTCTCGAACTTAAAAGACTTAAGCCTTGTTTACAAGCCTTGAACAAGAACTTCTACAATAATCTATCTGATAGAGTCAAACTCAAGAAAGCAGAGCTAGAGCAAGTCCAAATCTCTACTCTTAAAGGTACCAGTCCTCTTGAGAATGAACTATCTGTTCAAAATGAACTTGTTGCACTAGAGGAAGCTAAAAATATGTTTTTAAGGCAAAAATCTAAAGCCAAGTGGCTTAAAGAGGGAGACAAGTGTACTAAATACTTTCATTATGTTATTGTAACTAAAAATAAAAATGACACCATTAGGGTCCTTATTAATGCTCAAGGTAAAATGATGGAATCTTTCGAAGATATGTCTTCTGAAGTCTTAAATTACTTCAAGCAACAACTAGGTTCTATTGATCCTAATTTACAGCAAATTGATCCTTATTTCTTGAAAAATCTCCTTCAATTCGACATGCTTACTGACATTTCTTCAGACTTAATTAGAAAGGTCACCAATGATGAGATTAAAGATGCCATTTTCAGCCAAGGAAATGACAAATCTCCTGGCCCAGATGGCTTTACTCCTCTATTTTTCAAAAAAGCTTGGCCTGTGGTAGGAGAAGATGTTACCAAAGCAATCAGATTTTTCTTTTAAGAAGCTTTCATCCTACCTGCTTTTAATTCCATGATTATAGCCTTAATCCCTAAGCTTAATAATCCTAGCACTGTCAATGATTATAGACCTATCTCATATTGCTATGTGGTGTACAAAATCATCTCCAGAATCCTTGTTAAAAGGCTGACCACACTGCTGCCTGCTATTATTACTCCTAACCAGTCTGGTTTTATTCGTGGAAGATCTATTATCGACAACACTCTCCTAGCTCAGGAACTTGTAAAAGGTTATGGAAGGAAGTAAATCTGTCCAAGATTAGCTCTTAAAATCGATCTTCAAAAGGCTTTTGACTCTCTCCATTGGGATTTCATCTCTGTTACTCTCAAGGCCATTGGTCTTCCAAGTATCTTCTTAAATTGGATTGAGGTGTGTTTCAAAGAAGCCAAATATTCTATATCCTTTAATGATAGCTTAGTTGGTTATTTTAAAGGTCAAAGATGGATCAGACAAGGTGACCTTTTATCCCCTATCTTATTTGTGCTTGCTATGAACATACTCTCCAAAATCCTTAATCTTGCAGCTTCTAAAGGGATCTTTGGGTATCACCCTAAATGCAAAAAAAATGGGCTAACCCATCTCTCTTTTGCTGATGACCTCCTTATTTTCTGCAAAGGAAATCTTGAATCTATTGCTGGAATCATTTATGTTTTAAACCAATTCTATTATCTGTCTGGAATCTAGCTTAATGTTAGCAAGACAGAACTCTTTACTGCTAGTATTTCAGCTAGAAATCTTGAAATTTTCCAAAGCATTTCAGGCTTTAAGCATGGTCAGCTTACTGTCAGGTATTTAGGGGTTCCATTAGTCACCAAAAAGCTGTCTGAACTTGACTGCAAGCCTCTTCTGGATAAAATCAAATTAAAGTTGTACCATTGGTCAAGTAAGCTTCTAAGTTACACTGGTAGACTTGAGTTAATCAAAACAGTTCTTTTCAGCGTGGCCAATTACTGGTGTAGACAATTCATGCTCCCCCAATCTATTATTAACCATATTGATCAACTTTGCTCTTGTTTCCTTTGGAAAGGAACCGATCAGGCAGCTTCTGGGGCACGAGTCAGCTGGTCAAGTATTTGCTGCCCTAAATCAGAAGGTGGATTAGGTCTAAAGAACTTAAAATCCTGGAACATTGCTTTCTTGATTCAGCTAATTCAGAATATTCTGGCGGGAGAATGATCCCTTTGGGTAGCTTGGTTGAACTGTTATGTTTTCAAGAATAATACCCACTGTGACATGGTTGCAAGTAATGCTCACAGCTGGAGCATCAAAAAGCTTCTGAAATTGAAACATAGTGCTCTTCCCATTCTAAATTCAGGAACGAATTACACTAAAGATATTTGGGAAGCAGTCCGTGATAGAAAGAGTAAGGTATCTTGGCATAAAATCATTTGGTTCCCTATGCATATTCCTAAGTTTAGTATGATTGCTTGGATGGCCATCCTAGACAGACTTCCAACTAGGGATAAACTGTCAAGGATGGGCATAGTCATTGATGCTAAATGTGTTATTTGCAATGAAGCTACTGAATCTAGGAACATCTTTTTGCTGACTGCATCTTTGCCAAATCTCTGTGGAATTCTATCTTAAACTTGGCACATTTGTATAAACCTCATTTATCTTGGGAATAAATGATAGAATGGGTTTGTGTTGAATGGAGGGGTAAATATTTAATCTCCATCTTATTGAAAATTGCATGGACTTCCTACATCTATTCGATTTGGGAGGAGAGGAATAGAAGAATCTTCAAGCAAAGAGCTAGAGAAGTTGCACATCTACTGTCAACCATCAATGATATTGCCCGGATTCAGCTTAGTGGAAAAAAACCAATAGAAATGATTATATTAATTATAACATATGTTGTAATTGGGGTATAGACTAACCAATATTTTGTTGTAAATAGTGTTTATACTCTCTTTTGGGACGATTTGTTGTACTC